GGAGGAGGAGGAGGAGGAGGAGGAGGAGGAGGAGGAGGAGGGGGGGGGGGGGGGGGCGAAGTTGGGGGGGAAGAGGAGGAGAGATTGAAGTGAGTATGGCAGGACGAAACGAAGACGGAGAGCTTTCAGCTAGAGCACACGTTCCCTCAGAACCTCGCACAGGTCAGCCCTCTCTCGTCCTTTCCTTTCTTCCCCTCCCCTCCCCTCCTGTCCTCTCCCTTCCTTCCTTCTTGCCTCCCTCGCCCCTCGCACTCACTGCGTCGGCTCAGAGCAAGGAGACAGCAGATCACTCCTTCATCGTCGGCAACTGCGGCGCCAAGGCACCGGGCGAGTTTGTGCTGTCGGACATCAAGGAGGCAGAGAGCATGGGCTTCGTCTTCGACCAGGCGGCGGGTAAGGTGGACGCGGGGGGGAGGGTCTCGCTGCTGGTCAAGTACACCCCTCCTCCCTCCAGCCCTCTCTCCATGTGGAACGAGGTGACGGTCACGGGGGCTCTCAAGGGAGGCGATCCTCCCCCTCCCGGCGGCTCCCTCCCCTTGGAGATCCGCTTGAGGGGCTTCGTGGCGGCAGACTAGCAGCATGTAAATATGTAAAGATGAACACCATGAAGCCTCGCCCGCAGTCTCAGGCTCTTGCTTTGGAGCCTGCCGGCAAGCCGGAGACCCCGGATGGGCCTCGAACCCTAAGGCGCCCGCTTGGCCGGGCCGGCCCCCGGGAGCAGGGCCCGGGCCGGCCCACCGTGAGTGAGGCCCGGCCCGGACTCCGGGCCCGGAGCTGCCACGGGGCCGGGAGGCCCGGGCATCATTTCATGAGATGGTGAGGCGGACTTGTTGGCTCCTCTTCTTGATCCTTCGGCCTCCAATCCCTCTCAACCATGCACAGACCCAACCTCCTCCTCCTCCTCCTCCTCCTCCTCCTCCTCCTCCCGTCAACCTGTGTCCCTTCAGCTCTCCTGTTCTCCTCTACATCCTCTACCTCCTTCTCCCCCTCCTCCACCACCTCCTCCTCCTCCTCTCCTACCTCCAACCCTTCTCAGTCATCGCCATTTTGTCGCTCGTCGCAGCGACTGAATGTTGTCTCGGACGCCTCACTGTCATTTGCGCCCACCCATTCTTCTTCCTCGTATGATTTGTTTCTACGATACTCAACTCATCTTCTTGCCGTCTGTCCCTCGTCACGTCCTCGCGCACCTCCATGCCCTTGGCTCTTGCCTTCACCAGGAGCATTTCAAGCTGCGACTCAGGCCAGGGCAGCTGCAACGAGGATGCAGAAGGCGAGTATGGAAAAGGAGATGCTGTCAAAGCGAGCCAAGCGGCGTATGCGGGCACCTCCATCGCAGCTGAGGGTTTGGATGGACGTGCTGAACTCGACTGACGGGGGGCTGCTCCTCCTCCTCGACCTCGACAACAACGCGGACGCTCTTCCTCAGCTCGAAGATGCGCAGGTAGAAGAGGGGAAGGAGGAGGAGAGCATGACGAGCCGGGCAGGTGAAGGGGCTGCTGGACGGGTTTCGCATCCTCGGGTTTGCGGGAGTCGACTTCAGCGGCAGCATCCCGGCGTGGGTGGAGCTGCATCAGTGCAGGGTGAGAACGAAGAACGGAGCTGACTTCGTGCTCGCATTCGAAGCAGGTGCTGCTCGCTCCTCGTGTTGACTTGCGCTGAGAGGTCGACAGGCAGGATAGTAGCGAGGATGCAGCAGGAGGCGAGCGAGGGGGGCGGGAAGGCAATGCCGATCGCCGTCATCGTCTCGGCAGACGCTGGGATGGAAGTGATCGCTGACCTGATGAGGGGGGAAGGAATCAGCTGCCACGTCATCAAGACTTTGGCAGACATCAGGACTGTCTGTCAAGCTCTGAGCTTGTTATGAAGCATACTCTTAGTTACCGCGGCCATCCGTACTCCTCACGCTCTCCTACCGAGAAGGAGCCTGACCTTGGTGCCCGGCTGACCGATGATCATGCTGCGAATCTGCAAGAGAGCAGAGGCGTCAGAGCAACGAGGATGGAAGGAAGGAGATCTCAACCTGATCCACGGACATGTCGGTGACATTCACTCCGTCGACGGCGAGGAGGTAGTCCTCCAACTGCACTTGTCCGCTCTGTTTCGCCGTGCCCTACACATTTCAAGTCAACGAGTCAAGTTTGACGAGCTCGACCAGGCAAGGAAGTGACTGAAGGACTGGAGGGGAGCGGGGCTGCCGCTTCTGATACCTCGTTGAAGCTCGTGATGACGTAGTAGCTAGCAGGCGATGACTTGCCAAAGACGATCCCGATGCCCGTCATCTGTCCGGGGGCGTTGGAGGCTCCGCGGAAGATTTCAACCTCACGGGTGGCGAGAGGCTGCGAGGGCTGGTGAGCGAGGGAGGACGGCAGGGAGCGACGCACCTGACTGGACAGCTGGGGAAGCGACTGAACCTGCGGCTGCACCTGCGCGTCCTTCTTGGGGGGAGGCATGGACTGTGCCGGACGAGAGATGGCAAGGCTAGCCAAGTCGGCCGCTGGGTTTGGCATGCTCGAAGTTGGAGGAGAGTGAAGCTCGTACGACGGCTGGATGGTGCTGGTCCCGTTCGGGGAATACTGTTCGGGGACGAGAGCGTCGCGGACTAGAGTGCTTGCAAGCTGCTCCTGATAGACACTCGATGGGCTGGCGGCCTGGAGCAGTAGACGTCAGGTTGAGATTGCAAAAATCAAGAGGGAGGAGATGTCAGGTTCCTACCTGCTGCTGTGCCGATCCAACTGAGCTGCTGCTGGACATAGGGGTCAAAGTGACGTTGAAGTGCACTAGGGCATTGGGAGGCAGCGGCTTGCCCTGGAGCAACGGAGGGCGTGAGCAGGGAGGAAAGAGGCAGTGGGGCGGATCACGCACCTGATCCTGGAAGGGGCACCAGATGTCAATCTTCTGACCAGCAGGGTAACGGGAGAGCTCGATGCCCGCAAGCTCAGCGACTGATTGAGGCTGAGCTCCTCCCGCCATCTCCGTCAAGGTGCCGCCAAGCAAGCAGCCCTCGAGCTCGGAGGCTGAGAGAATTACTTCGATCATCTCATGCCACACAGCTTGTTGCGAGCTTGGGTTCAGCGGGACCATCTTGGAGGCGAATGTCTTCCTCCCTCCCCCTGGCACGTTGCTCGGGTACTACATAGATCAGTCCATGTCGGTGGACCAACACTGTTATACCTGCATTGACAGAGTTGCTCCGACTTGACTTCCCGGAGAGACAGGAAGATTTTTGCCTTCAATGAAAAGGACTTGCACTTTATATGTGTCCGGCTGTTGGATCAGGTCAATGGCAGGCAGTCAAATACGCTCTAGTCCTTACCTTCACACTGTTTGGCTGCAGGCTTGCCAACGAGCTCGGACCTTTAAACAGTAGAGATCAGAGGCGGTTGGAAAGCCCGAGATTAAAATACCGGAAGGAACACCTTGGCTCACGACACCTGCTGACTGCAGGAGGGTATGCTTAGGAGAACTCGAAGCCGGGGGCGAGGGCGTCTGTGAGCTGACCGGAACCGGAAGCTGGTAGCTGACAGGAGCAGGAGCCTGCAAGCTAGCAGGAGGGGGGGCCTGCAAGCTAGCAGGAGGGGGGGCCTGGTAGCTCACCGGGGCAGGGGCCTGGTAGCTCACCGGGGCAGGGGCCTGGTAGCTCACCGGGGCAGGGGCCTGGTAGCTCACCGGGGCAGGGGCCTGGTAGCTCACCGGGGCAGGGGCCTGGTAGCTCACCGGGGCAGGGGCCTGGTAGCTCGCTGGAGGCGAAGGAGTCCGGTTGCTCACGGGAGGCGAAGGAGACTGATAGCTTGTGGGTAGAGGAGCCTGGTAGCTGACTGGAGGCGAAGCTAGGTTGTCAACAGGAAGAGGAGCCTGGTAGCTAGCTGGAGGCGGGGCTTGATAGCTTGCCGGAGCAGGAGCCTGATAGATGGCTGGAGGTGTAGATGACCGCTGTGGATATGACATTGAGTTAGTCGAGGTCTTGTCATGCACAGTAGCGCGAGCTCTCACATTTTCTGCTGCATTCTTCAACACTCTCAGCTCGTGGCTTCTGAGGACCATGATGGGAGCAGGGAGGGCTTGCTCGTTCCGCTCCAGCCCCAGCTTGCACCAGGTTCCGATGGGACCCAGCACGGCCTCGTTGACCATGTTGGGGCTCCAGTTGCTGACTTCCACGTCATCGACCGTCAAGAGGATGTCACCCTGCCAACTCAGGTCACTCGCTCCTCATGCTCGGAGGCAGGCTCGCAACCTGTTGCACCCCCGACAACACCGCCGGGGCGTTGGGGAGGAGGTCTTCGACTCGGTACCTCGTGCCTCCCCGGGGATCGTTGACTTGTTGGAGGCTGATGCCGATCCCAGCCTTGCGCACGAGGTGCTGGTACCTGTGCCAACCTACAGGAGATTTCTGCATCCCCAACAATCCGATCAATCTGCATGCACGCCACCACGTACAAGACGGCAACCTGGATCAGCCCGATCCCGTCCAGGATGTCCACAACCTCAGCCGTGTCTCGCTGGTTGAAGATTTCGCTGCGAGGGAGGAGCAGTGAGACAGGTGAAGCCTGCAAGACAGAGGAGGACGCACTCGACAGCGATGTTGGCGGAGGTATCATGCAGAGCGTACACGTTGATGCCCTTGCAGGTGTGCGTCTCGATGGGCTCCTTCAAACCGTCCCACGTCGCAATGACGTTGCACGACTGGAGTCGTTGCAGCTTGACGGGGGGAACGTCTCCTGCGACGGCGAAGTTGCAAAACTCGCAGTCAACCATGCTCGCCATCGTGTTGACTTGGTCGATCATGATGGTGACATCCTTGCAGCTGCCAGGTGGATCAGCAACGACTGAGACAGCATGCGGTCCAACCTGACGATCTGAATTTCTCCGCACGACCCGTACAGCCTTATCATGCATTTGCTGCAGCGATTGATCGTCACTTTCGTGTTGGGCCACTCTCTCAAGTTGATCTGAACGTTCTGATCCTGTTGGATCCCCTGGACTAGCAGCCCACCATCTGAGGCTGGAGCGATGATGGGTGGGAGTTGCTTTCCACTTGCGTACAAATCAATATCTTGCTGGCTGCCGTGGACAGACATCTGAAAAGTAATGTGAGCGCAGTGAAACAGACTGAGACGATGCTGATGCTTCATGAACTCAGAAATTTGCTGGAATGTAAAGATCGGCTATGATGGTCAGGTTAAAGCACCTTGGATTCCCTCCTCTACATTTCAGGTACTCATTTCTTCTGAGAGTGTGTTGAAAACCCATTCTAGCCCTTTTCCTCCTCCCGGAATCCTAGTCCTCCTTTACCCCCACCACCTCCTCCTCTTCCTCTTCCTCTTCCTCCTCCCGAGTCCTCCTCCTCCTCCCCCTCCTCGTATCCCTGTTCGTATGTTCCGAGTCGCCATCGAACCCCCCCCTCCACCCCCCCCCCACTTACCCTGAAAATGAGGTGTAGAAACCACCTGACCTTGTCCGATCGGATCATCGGTCATGACCCCACCCTCTACCCCTATGTCCCTATACTTACTACCCCATGAGAAATCCTCCGGATTCTCTACCCCCACTACCCCACCCCCCAATTCGACTACCACCCTCAACCGTACCTCCGAGGTTCAAGCTCTAACGGCATCCAAAGGCCCACTGGCCACTCCCCCACCCCTCCTCTGAACCATAAAGTACCCCCCCTACCCATTGACTGAGACATCACCAGTTGGGTGACCTCGCTACGAAAAGAGGTCCTAGCAATATTCGTAGGTCATGAGAGTCCTTGGACCAGACACTAGGACCCCGACAACTCTACTAGGCCTAGTACCTCGAGTGCGACGGCGGTGTCGCAAAAATAAACAAGAGGGGTCAATTAAAAAGTGATTATACTTCCACGGTTTCAAATGTAACCGACCGGTCACGACTCGGACTCACTCGGAACAGGCTTCTTTACTCAAACCGTTCGGCGCGGGGTCACTGGCTGCCCGGGCGGGCCGCCTCCGAGTGCGCGCCGCCTACCGTAACCGTAACCGGGGCGCCACTGGCGCCCACCATCCGATGCCATCATCCGAGTCGGACGGCCGCATTCATGTGCCGGTCGGACTCCCGGACTCTGATGAGATCGGACCGGGCCCGCCCGGGCCGGCCCGGCCCGGCGCCCGGCTCACTGCGGCGCGGCTCGGGCTCCTAACTAGTAACCGGGCCGGGCCCGGCGGGGACCCGGTGCACAAGGACAATCAGGAGAGTCGAGGAGGCTTGCCAGGAGGCTTGACCCTACTTTACTGAAAGTTAAGTTGAAAATCAGCACGAGGACAACTGGCAATTATCAAGAGAGCCTGCGAGGAGGCTTGACCGTGCGGCCTCAGCCGACACTGTGGCACTGATTGGCCGCACACGCGCCACGCGGCCGCCCAGGGCCGTCCTGGAACTAACCGCCGGTAAACGGCGCGGCACTGCCGCAGGCCGGACCCCGCGCTAGACTCGCGGCCCGGGCCGGGCCGGCGGGCCCCCGGCCGGGCCCGGCGCCGGGTTGCCGCAGTGTGACTGAGGCTCGCGGCCGCGACTCGGCGGGCGCCGGGCCGCCGCTGGTCGGATCGGACACCCGGCCCTCAGTGCCCCGGGCGGGCCCGGCCCGGCCGGGCCCGGGGCCGCACAGGCCCCCGGGCGCGCGTGGGGTGTGTTTACAGTGGGATGAGGGGGTACTAGGGGTAGGCGAGTCAGAAATGTAAGCAAAGGAGGTGGTGAGGCGTAAGAGGGAACACAGGGGGTGAAATCTGGGTCTGAAAGGGGGTAGGGGTACCTACCAGGAGTCTCCACCCCCGTATGATGAACAGACTTATTGTTACACGTCTGGGGGTGGGGGAATCTCTAGTGGAGGGGGTAGGGTGGGGAGAAAATCCTTGGTAAGGGTGCTGTACAGTATGACTGGATGGTCAACGTAGGGGTGAAGAAGAAGGACTATGTTGCATGGGGGTAGGGTAGGGTAAGGTAGGGTTGTTGTTAGGGTTGGCCCGCCCTGATGATGGCGTACATTCAAGGCCGGGAGGGAGAAGGAGAAGGAGAGGGAGGAGGCGAGAGCAGGACGAATGCTGACCAGCCATGCACAGAAGAACCAAAGGACGAGGATCAGAGGTAGATCTTGACCGCCAAGATCGAGGCAAGCAGCTGCATACGCGTCTTTGCGCCCCGGATTCTTGGGTGTCTTCCTGAAAAACTTCGAAACTTGAGTTACTTGACCTCCGCTGCTCACCCTCTTGCTGTCGGGGTCCTGAGTCAAGATGAGCATACCAGGCCTGGTGTCTGTGAAGCGGTGCAGGCTTCCATGGATCCCAACAGCTGCGACTTTGCTGTCCCTCTTGCACGTTGTGCACCCGTTGACTCTCCCACTCAGTTTGAGCCCCACGCCGAGGCTGTCTGGGCATGCCCTGCTCCTCAAGAGCACAAGATCGATGGCGAACAGAGGGATGTCTCGCTTGCGAATGACCATAACGCAGCCAAGGAAAGATGAGCCCAACAACTTTCAAGAGATTGGACTCATCGGTGCTGCAGCGGTGGTTGGAGCGGGATCTGGCCTGGCAGTGGTGGCTTTCAAGGAAGGGATCAAGGCCATGAGGGGATGGACTTACCAGGGGTCGTATGCTCAGCTTGTCCACAATATCGGCTCGTTTCTCCCGTCCTCCGGGCTGCCTAACATGGAGGGTATCAACCTCGAGTACATCTGCTTCCCTGTGATGGGAGGGCTGCTCACCTCGCTCTTCCTCTTGGTCCTCCGCAAGGACTTCGGGCCGGGCCTGACCGGTCAGCTCGAGGAGGTAGACCGAGGCGTTCCCATCGACCCCGTCAGGTTCCTTGCCCGGCAAGTCTCCGCCGTGGCTGCCCTGGGCTCGGGATGCTCCCTGGGACCTGAAGGGCCCTCGGTCGAGATCGGGCTGACGGTGTCAAGAGCAGTCTCCAGCACGCTGGGGCTGGATGCGTCCCTCAGGAGGATCCTCGCCTCTGCTGGGGCGGCAGCTGGGGTGGCAGCTGGGTTTAACGCGCCTCTGACGGGCGTCGTGTTTGCACTGGAGATCGTGCAGCCCACGATCTCGAAGCAGGAGGAAGGCCTCCCCGACGCGAAGCTCACAACCGCGCAGAGGGCGGCCGCGGGAACCGTCCTGACGTCAGCAGCAATCGCGTGTCTTGTCGCCCGGTCAGGCATCATGGTCTCCGAGCGGTTCATGGTGAAGGAGTACTTCATCGTGGACAAATTCGCGGAGCTGCCGGTGTACATGACGCTGGGAATTCTCACAGGGGTGGTGGCGGCGAGCTTCCGTTTCCTCGTCAATCAGTTCAGAAAGTTCTATGCGGGAGAGGTTCCAGGGCTAGAGGGGATGGCTCGAGTCCCGCGGGAGCTGAAGCCTTTGATAGCTGCTTCCCTGTGTGGGGTGGTGGCGACCAAGTATCCTCAAGTGCTTTTCTTCGGCTACGAGACGGTGAACAGCTTGCTCGCCGAGTCAGCGACTTACGTTGACGATACTGAGACGCTCCTGACCCTCATGGTCCTCAAAGTCACTCTCACCGCGTCCTGCGTGGCCAGCGGGCTCATGGGAGGAATCTTCGCTCCTTCCTTGTTCTTCGGAGCGACGCTGGGAGCAGCTTATGACAACGTGATGCGAGGAGACTTGGGGTTGGACATCGCCAGCACGACGAGGTACCCGAGAGCTCTCTTGGGAATGAAGTGACTTGATGCAGCTACGCGATGGTCGGGGCCGCGGCGGTGCTTGCCAGTGTGTTCAGGGCTCCGGTCACAGGTTGTCGATTGAACTCAAGCGGCTTGTCTGACTTGTCTCTCGCTCTCAAGGGATCCTCTTGCTCTTTGAGCTCACGCGCAACTATGACATCGTAATGGAGGAGACAGCGAGTGTGGCACATGAGCTTACAAGCCCACGCAGGTGCTGCCACTCATCGCAACAGTGGCCATGGGAACAGTCACCATCGACATGTGAACCTTGCTCCTGGCCCTTGGCTTGTGCTGACATAAGCGCAGCATCGAGTCCTCTCATCCTCAGCCAACTTGGGCCTGGTGGTGGCAAAATTCCAACCCTGAGAACAACGGCTCTACATCGGCGGCCGAGGACCCCGACATCCTCTGTGAGGGATTGTGCGCGCTCGCGATGTCCTGACTGTCATGCAGGGTCTGCACTCAAGGCAGGAGCGGACGAGGACGACAACATCAGCTTGAGAAAACTTCTCTCCTCGCTCGAGGTAGCGACCTTAGTGGACGACGCGGAGCCCTTTGACGTGTCATGGCAGACGCTGAGGGAGACAGGCAGCATCGACAAGCACACCCTCGTGGAGATGATCCGGAAGCTGGGCTTCGACGAGGAGCACGAGAGCATCCAGAGCCTGGGCGGGGGGCCTGGCGAGCTGGTGGACGAGGACGAGGTCCGGCTGCTGCTCCGACGCCTTGTGGGTAACGTGCTGCCTCCCACCCTCCTTGACGCCTCTGGCAGATCGAGGACAACCAAGTTGAGCGCAAGTGACGCGTGCTCCTCTCCCTCCTCCTCTCCCTCCTCCGACCTCTCCTTTGTGTCTTTTTAGGTTCTCTTAGCCCCGGCGCCTGTTAGATAGTCTCCGCTGCTCGTTGTTCTTCCCTTGTTTTCAAACGTTCGGTGGTCTTTACATGTCATTCGTCCCATCAGCTCCCTCCTCCCGCCCTCTCACTGCGTTATCGGCGGCATACGCAGCGCTACCTTGTCCAGCTCCTCCTTTGCTATGGCAACAAACATCTGAAGATCGACCTGAAGAGAGCCTGTGAGCCTCCGTCCTCGCTTCTCCTCCACAAACTCCTCCTCCTCTTCCCCCTCCCCCTCCCCGAACTCCACCTCCTTCTCCTTCACCACGACATCCTCCTTCTGCCACTCTCCGACCCCCTCCTCATCCTCCCTGATTTCCCCAGCCACCTGCAGCCCTCACCTTCTCAGTCGATGTCGAAGTGAAGTCCTTGATGCCCAGGTTCTGCATCGCTTTCTCTAGCTGAGAGGGCGTGAGGGGAACATAGCAAGGAGGAAGCAGTATGCCGCTCACTTGTACATGCGTTATCTTCCCGCTCCCCGTCAGGTCAAACATCCCGAACATCGCTATCAAGTCCTTCTCCTCAAAGAATGACGGGACCTGAGCTCAATCCCTCAGCGGACCGGCACCACTGACATCTCCTGACGAGATACCGGGACTTGCTGCTGCTGGCATTCGTGGATTCTTTTCAGCTCTTCGACTAGAAACGCGCGCGGGTCCTCCGGCTTTACAAACAAAATCTACTTGCAATGGTTGACGGTGGGTAGACGTGCAAAAGAACATGCTCCTCCTCCCCCAAGTACAAGGGGAGGCAGCAAGCGACAGGAGAGAGCAGGAGCAGGGAGGGAGAGGGAGACTGCAAGGATAGATGAAGAGCGAGGAAAGGGAAGCTGGGGAGGGATGGGGGACGAGAGTTATTTGAACATGTGGAGGGAGGGAAGGGTATGAACGGGGAGGGAGGGGAAGGAGGAAGGGAGAGTTCTGGCTGTAGGAGGAGCATACCTTTGTACTGAGATGTCTGATCAAGCTTCTGATGTTCTTCTCCTCTAGATACTTCTCTGCTGACTTGCGCGGATCCTTTGATTCCGCCATGGCGCCCCGAGCCCCAATGTGGAAGGAACAACTCACCTTCAGGGGAGGGGGGTGGTAATCTACGGGGTCCATTTATATTCAAAATGCCCTCATAAGATAGGGTGGGGTGGGTATGGAGGGGTGGTCAAGAATCGGACGTCCGTTGATCTCTCGGTTGGTCTCACCTGTCAAGTCACTCACTCTGAGAGCAAAGGAGGAAGACGATGCGAGGAGAGGAGGGGAGCGAAGAGAAGATGAAGGGATCCTAGGGGAGGAGAGGAGGGAGGAGAGGAGGGAGGAGAGGAGGGAACAGCCCAGAGGGGAGAATTCAGCTTGTAATCATAACTGGCAACAAATTCCCTCAAAGTGGATCGAAACTTGCTCTTTCTCTGAGCGAAAGCTTCGATAGCAACAGCCTCCGACAGGCAGGACCTGACCTGAAATAAAAAATACCTTGGCTGCCAACGTCCCGACTTAGCTCGATGCCTTGGGCACCATGCAAGACATCAATCAGATTCCAATCATCCTTGCGCTCTCTATTGGTGGCCCTTGTCTCATGACTGCCGATGCCTCTTTCTCTTGCACTGGTGGGTCGACGTGGCTGACTTGCCACTGAGGCGTGCGAGAAGTCACTTACAACCCGAGAAGGTCTAGGAGCCCTTCTCTCTTCCACCTGATATTCCTCGGTTCTCTACCGGGCCGACACCTCCTCCTCCACCACCACCACCTCTTCTGCCTCCTCCTAGCGGAGGTGTAAGTCTGCCCTGTGATAGCTGCTCATACACACGTCAAAGCTCTCGCTGCCCCTTCAACCCACTTTGCCAAGGATTGCCGACGAGATCATGCAAAGGATCAAAACCCCCATGATGTCAGTCAGAGTCGCCAGCATCGGCGAGCTGATGTGGCACGGGTCCAGACCAGCCCTCTCCAGCGCGAGAGGAACGACTGTCCCCCCAGCGATCGCCCCGACGATGGTCAAGAAGGTGGCAGCGGACACGATGAAGGCTGCGGTGATGTTGGACCCGTGAGTAATCATCACCCTGACGAAGGCAGCGGCCGCCAGGATCAACCCGATGGCGCTGGATGCCAGCACCTCCCTCAGCAACACCTTGAGCATGTTCTTGGTGTTGATCTCCCCGGTGCTCATCCCTCGGATTACCAAGGACGAGCTCTGGTTCCCCGCGTTCCCTCCGGTCCCTATGAGCATCGTGAGGAACAGCGCGAGGAAGACGTTCTCCTGGATCAGCTGCTCGTAGTGCGAGAGCACCACGGAGCTCATGGACTGGAGGATCATCAAAGTGGTAAGCACTGAGCTCCTCCTGACGATCAAGTCCCATAGCGAGCTGCCGAAGTAGGATCGATCCCTGATACGATTTCGACCCTCGAGCGTCACTGTACCCTGCCATGAGTCGGGTGAGAAAGGAAGGAGGCGGCATGGGGCAGTGGAGTAGCTACCTGTTGTAGCCTCTCCTTGTCCGAATCGATGATCAGAGTGTCGACGACGGCGTCCTTCATCAGTCCCGATTGCCTCAAACGATTGAGAATGTCCTCGGGGTTTCCTTTCATCTTCAACACCATGTTGAAGGATCCATCGTCATCCAACACTATCTCAGTCTTCTTGTCTTCATTCGCTTCGGCTTGCAGCCCTCTCTGAACTGCTTGCTTCTTGTTCCTCCGCTGCTGCAGGCCCTCCACCAACTTGACGATGCTTTCTTCTTGGTCAGAATGAACGACTGGATCCCGGTTCATGCTCACTCCATAGGCGATGCTCCCGTTGATCCTCCTCGTCCGCTGCATCTCACTCGCGTTGTCCTGCTCGTCTGCATTCTGCTTCAATGACGCCCTGTTGCAAACAAAACTGCGGCTGTTCCTCGTGGACAGCATCAGGGTAGCAAAGGCTGAGGAGACTGAAGGGGGACAACGACGAGACGGACAGCTTCGAGAGCAAGGAGGGGAGGGAGGGAGAGACACGATGAGCGGCAAGCCCAGCAGCGCCAGCAGCGCTTGAGGCCGCCACCCTGGCATTGCAACGGGGTGCGAGGGGGAGGAGACCAGCGCAGAACTGATTCTCCTACTTTCTGCCCCACCAATCTCTCTATAGTTCTTCCTAAATAGAAACTGCTGCCCCAAATTGTTTCCTAGTAGAGAGTCACTAACAAGGTTGGGTAGGGTATCTCGGGTGGGGTACATGGGGGTACTTTAGCGCAAATGGGGGTGACATGGGAGAACCCTCAAAAGCATATGCAGAGGTAGGGTGGGGTGGGGGTTGTGACGAGTAACCCAACTGGCAAAGACCCATGATACTAGCAGTGATCGATCCGATCATTCAAAGCCCGGCCGGGCGGCCCGGGGGCGGGCCGCCGCCGCGGCCCGCCCGGGACTCGTCCCGGGAGTCCCCGCCGTGTGACAGCGAGATGTGCAACTAAGTCTCGTACCGTACACCGTCTCAGGTGATCCGATCCGACTTCACTCAGGCTGCCATGTTGTCAAGTGCGAACGCACTGCGGCAAAATGATTCGCCGGCACGGTGCCCAGATCGCGACAATGATGCGGCTGTGGAAGGTATCAGTTACCGTACCGTCAGACAGTGAGTTTGAGGGACAGCAGTTGGCAGGCCCGATCTCGACCGGACTCCCAGAGTCTCCTGTCACCGTGGCACCAGTACCGGGGGAGTCGATATCAACTTTGCCGGGATGCACAAGGCTGAGTCGACTCGGCTACAGTACGGATGCTTTTTAGTCAACTAAACAGAACTCACTGAAATACGACCCATATTCAGTGGGGAGGGGTCACTGCCCCAGGGAAGCTCATAGTAGAGGGGGGGTGGGGTATCTATGTGGGTTTGCTGGAACTGAAGAAAAGGCGGGAAGAACATGGCGGAACCGGCGACCAGCCTAGCCAAGGGCAGCGACACTTGCCTCGAGCATGAAGAACTTATGAGCCATCAGGAGCAGCCAAGGCCAAGCAGCAAACGAAAAGCCGAAGAAAGCCTACATGTCGAAAGTCGGAAGTTTCGCAATTCCCCCGACGTCGAGACAGAAACTGTACGTGAGAGCCTTGGACATAGAGAGATGATGGGAGGTAACGAGATCACCACAAGTGCTACAGCAGAGTTTCAATCAACAAGCAAACCTGATGGAGCATTGTGTGGTCATACCTCTCTTCAAGGTGAAACAAAGCAACTGAGCGACCCCAATTCAGAGCCAAGGTACGAATGGTTCCCGGATGGACACCACCTTCTTGGAGAGACTTTCTCTACCTGTAAGGATGATCAGTCACTGCAAGGGAAAGTAGTGATGTGGGGAAGGCCCTCATTTGACCATTCCTGTAAGCTATCCATCTTCCAAGTATTTCTTTACGACGTAGATGGTTCAGTCAAAATGAAAGAGATATGGAATGAGATTAAGGTTCACATGTATCTGCATCCTCACCAAAACAAATCTTTGCAAGACGAATTGCAATCGGAAGACAAAGTAAGGCGGTCGATTCGGCTGGGAGAATTTGTAACCACTCCAAAGGAAATCAAATCAGTTCCAGGATCGACAATCAGCTTTGAAGCTCCGCCAGAACCACCACGTTCGAATGAAGTTCAGTCTCCTGAGCTCCTTGATTTGCAACTATGGTATTATCCTGGAGATCTGTACATTAGAAACGTCTACATAGCTCCTTGGGTGGTAAATATTCTTCATTTCCTCCGCCAAAATGGAACTTCTCTGCTGTTAAGTATCTTGTCGAAATTTAGAAATGGTTTTTCTGAAAAAGGCAGCGAACAAACAAATGAAAGCTTTTTCAGGGATAGATGTGGACAAGGTGTAGGATTACAGACTTTGAAATCAAAATACTTGGAGTCTGTCGCCTGCTATGCGATTTTCAATCCCAACGCATCTAGAAGTAGTGAAGGTAGGCCCAGCTCCTTGATGGATCTCAATGGCGTATCAGACTTCAAGATCACCTACATAAGGAACAAGGATAAGATCTTCGAAAATGCATTTTTCGCGGCCAAACTGGGAAGTCTCGATCTAAGAGTCAAATTGCGCGTTTGCTCGTATTGTGGGTCCTGTTTCAGTGGTCGATTTGAAAATGGATTTGGGTGGAAGAAAATTACCAGTAAAACTAAAGCTGGCAACTTCGATTGGAAACAATTGATGGGGTATGATTGTCAAGCTTGCGTGTATGTGGGAGGTCCGCTTATTTCCTGATCAGGTGGACCCTTTGTCAAGCTTGCTACATTCATAGATCATCAAAAGGAAATTTGGCCGATTCATTGAGGAAGAGAATCACACAGCTTGTTGGTAACTTTTGAAATTGACATGTGCGTTTTATATTGACATGTGCTTTTCAGTCGATCGAAAAGAGTTTCAAATATGTGAAGTGGAATCCGAGGACTTTGAGATATTGAATAACACTTCTGTCAACCAAGGGTGCAAAGACAAATCAAGTGCATTTGTCCTGAATAAGAATGACAAAATTGAAGTGATGCATTGTCAGCAATGGTAAGTATCACCCAGAGCTTGCCAGGTACACATCAGGTTTTTGTAATGCTATCTTGCAGGTTACTAGCGACCGTTGTGGAAGAATCTGGTGGGATGATTCAAGCAAAATACACGTTCTGCAACACTCGTTGGCTGCGATATTTGTATCGTGACAGTGATGAATGGCGAATGATATCAAATGAAGTGATATCTGATTTTATCTTTGGCTTCTGCCTTATCTTGCTTGACAGCACTCAATATCAAGAACGACAAAATACGCTTGCTGCACAGGAGTCTATCACAACGTATCTCCTCCTTCACAACATGAAGAAGACATCAGATTAGAGGGTCAGCAGAAATCTATTCAGAGAGATTTGGACCCAACGCCTTTGAAGTTTCGACGGTTTTGTCACTTTGTCCCTGGATCTGGCTGTAGGCACCTGAACACACTTGAAGGTCTGAAGATACTCCACAACATGAGGGAACTCTGGATCACTCTCGCGATCAAATCAAACAGGTAAACGATGCTTCTGAGCTGAAGTGATCCTGTGTGTCCATTTGTCAAAATGAAACTTTTCCAGGAATATTTGCAGGCACAGAATCACTTGTTCATCCTTGCAGAGTGTTGCAGAGATATTGCAAAGGGCGATGTCGTGGTAAAACCTTTGAAGAAGAACTCTTCCTATATACAGGTATCTCTATTAGAGCATGTCAAATCCTGGTGTGTCATTGTTGAACAAAATTTCATGTATACAGGGTCGATGTACTTTTGATGGGGCACAAGATTTTGTTACAAACAACAGACATAACTGGGTAACGATTTGTTTTAGGGAGTACCTTTTTTTCAATTTTCCTATGCAGGTTATTCTCAATGGGGACCATGATCGGTACATTATCGAAGTAGGATCTTATGACAGAGGTAAGAAAGAAGCTCTATGAAGGGTTACGGTGACTAGTTCAATTTCGGATAATCTCAGAAACAAGGTCACAGCACTTCCTCGTCAGGTCTCAGGAGGGCAATTCTCAACATTTTACCGTGTTCCTCCGAACGCATGTCACAAAGGCACAGAAAGACCAAATTTTTATCAACATCGTGTGGAACTCAGCAGAAGAAGTATGTGTTATTGATTTTCTCCGGCAAGTGTTTCACTTGAAGGAGGGAATACAATTTGAAATGATATGCTCAATGAGTTCTGCGAATGATTACGTGAATGATTTAGTGTTTCCGATACAAGTTAATTGCTCCGTAGATGTTTTGTAAGCATTCAAAAGTCGATTTGCCCCTGCTATGTGACATTGTGCGGACAAGAACTTGCCTAAGTATTGAATGTGAACAGGTATATCTAGTCCTTTGAATTCAAACAAATCCTAATTCTTCAACTAGCAGGACAGAGCAACAATTGACATCTCAGGTTTGTTGACTCATCATTCCAATCCAGACAAGATTCGACCTGCAGTAATAATTCACAGGAACGCACTTATTCAGGTAGATACATATTCTTTGAAACGATGTTCTCAGAAATGTTTGCTGATATTGAAACTCCTATCAGTATGTTTGCTTGTCGGATATATCGCATGCAAGGAGTGTTGTCATTCGTTGGCTGGCTGAAAATTGCAGGTGAATGTTTTATGGTTGTTGTTTTGTAGAATTGATAATCTCTGCATAGTGAAGCTTTCATGAGGAAAACCTCAAATCATATGGCAGCGGAGTACAACAAGACGAAAGCAAATAGATTGAAGCCGGAGAGTGACGAAATGATGATTGTTGGGCAGTGCGATTTCTTTAGTTGGAATTGGGAATCAGAAAATGTGCATCGGGCACGCTTGTCGATTCGATCAAATGAAATCGATCCTTCAATTCTGGATGATTGCGACGCTATTTCAAACTCAAATAAGAAGAAGAAAAGTCGGAATGTGAACAGTTCCCAATCTAAAGATGGCTTTCAGGAGTTCAAATGTTTTAAGGAGAAAATCTTTGAAGACGAAAATGCGTCATTCATTCTGAAAAAGATGCAAGGACTCGGTCAAGAACTGCAGATGTGCGAAGCCCGCCAAGAGGCTTTGACCCGAAACCTTCAGGATATCTTGCAAACTCAGGAAATTGGTTCTATTGATGAGTATCAATAAAGTACTACATGCAGTGGATACAAAAGATTCAGGATCTGTTGATTTATTGAGATGCTTTGATAAGAAATATCATCATTGAAATTCAGCCTGCAAGCAAACTTGGAATGCAGTTGTTGTCATTTCAAGCAGAACCATGCTGGATCAATCCCAACACCAGCCTGTCACAAAAATTCGGCCTTTCATATTCTCTCCAACCCAAAGCTGTCTTGCTCTTCATCTAATTGTGTGCAATTTTCATAGCCAGCTCATGCATCTGCCTCATCTGCTTCTACATAAATGTTGATCTCCTTTACTACTTGCTCAAATCTTCAACTTGCTTTCCTCGATCATTCATTTTCATACCTCCTGCTTCGGCTCACCATCTGATGTATCTCTAACCTTACCAGCTCCACGTCACTCTACGGTGTCCCTGCTCATGGTCTTTTTGCCTTCCATTAGTTGACTTTGACCGCCTTCTCTCCTCTTGCCTGTTCTGTTGGACTGGACTCACTTATTGTACCCTACTTCTGTCCATTCCTCTCTTTCTCTCTCCTCTTCCATCCCCACTGTTCCTCTCTTTTCTTCATTTCTGGTTTTTCTTCCTCTCCTCCCCTTCCCTCTTATCTCCTTCTCCACCTCTGATTTTTCTCTTCCTCTTCCCAACTTACTCCTCTCCTTTTCTTCCATCTCTTCTCCCTCTGCTCCCCTTCTCCTTCCCTCCTCCCTCAGATCTCAAATTCAAAATCTCTCTCACCAAGCTCGCCTCAATAAAGTACCCTACCCCCCTCTTTCTATCATGCAATGGTCATCGAGGGTGGGTTGTTGGGAAGAGCGCGGGAAGCGAGCAGGGAATGGCGAGAGGGAGGGCGTAAACGGTGCAGGGAAGCCGAGGTAGAGTGAAGAGAGAGGAAGAGAGAAGAGGGAGAAGAAGAAGAAGAAGAAGAAGAAGAAAGAGGTAGAGTGAAGAACAACATCAAACAGCGAGCAAGCAAGCTCTAGTGGAAGCGATCGTTTTCAATCAACACGCATAGCGGGATCTGTCGAATCATCCACTACAAACCAGCAATCACAGGTCACACGTAGATAAGCTTGCTTCAGCGGTCACTGGGTTGAAGAGATCAAATCAGATTCAAAACAGAAGTGAAACATCATCAAAAATTGAAACAAGGAAGCAAGCTCGTGCGTTCTTCCTCTGAATTGGTTTATGTCGACCAACATAAGTTAATCATCCAAGATCGTACACATCCATTGCACACGTTTCTTCTCTTTATCTCGGAATGCAAGTTTACATCAGGACTAGTACGATGTGCATGAGTGGGCGAATGTTGTCAATGCTGCTGTTGGCGCAAGCTTGTTTGGCCCTACAGGCATGGGGTGGGCATATCGATGTGGAAAGTCTCGCGGCTCTCAGTGGCAACTCGGTGCTGAGAGTACGTGGAGGAGGACCGCACAACAACAAGGACAAGGTGAGACTGGATGAACGAACGGAGGGGGAGGGGGAGGGGGGAGAGGGGAGGGAACGGGGGGGGGGGGGGCGAAAGTCGCAATGGCAGACTAATCTTGGTTGAACAGGCCGGGGACTCAACGAAGTATAAGCGCGAAGTGTATGAGAAGATCCAGAGAGAAGTGACGGACAAAGTGCGATCTCACTTCCAGGACCAACTGAAAGATGAAAAGATACGAAAAGTGCGGGAGAACTCGCGCAGCCGCAACAGGGCGAGGGAGACGTTCAGGAGGTCGAGAGGGGCTGCGCTGCCTTCCACCAAGAATCGAGTGAGAAACATCGAGCGAACACTTGCGCGGAAGGGCGATTCCATCCCCGAAGACGTGAAGGAGAAGATGAGGCAGCGGATCGCTCAGCTGAAGACGGAGTACGAGGAGATCGTTTTGGCTGACAAGGAGAGGAAATATTCGATACGCTACCGAAAGGTGAAATTCTTCGAGAGGAAGAAGTTGGAAAGAATGCTTTCTCGGAATGCTAAGGAAATCAGGGAATCGGATCCAAACAGCGCAGAGTTCGCCCGGTTGACTTCAGATAGAAAGCAGATGCTGGAGGACCTGCAGTACGTCCTTTACTTCCCACGAGACATGAAGTATGTCTCTGTGTTGAACAATGACCGGGAGACCATTGCGCGCCTTCGATCTTCTCCTGAGTTCCAGAAGAAGATGTCGAGGGCAAGGCAGATCGTGCTTGCTTACAGAGCACTCAAATTGAACCAGACGTCAACCGAGAAATTGAAACCTACAGAATCAAGAAAAGTCGCATACCAAGGAACGGAAGCGGAAGATGTAGAGAAGAAAAGAGAGTCTCCCGTGGGAGGAAAAGACAGAAAAGAAGGAAAAGCATCGGAGAAGAAGAAAGTTCGCCAGGAGGTTACACAAGAACAAGAACAGGAGAATGAAGATGAAGCTTCCTCCATTTCCGCTGGCTCTGTAAGCGATGGATTCATGGAGAGGATGAGGCAGGAGCAGCAGAGGTACACTACTGAGATCTCCAAGCTTCGTGACGTCTCCATTGCACCTGCTGAAAAAGCACCTGACAACTCAGGAGCAGCTTCAATGTCTGAGGACGAGCACTCGAGCCAAACGCATTTCTTCTCGAGCGGAGAGCAACGTGGAGCGCAAGAGCACGCCAAGCATCTGATGGAGACGCTCAAAGCAGATCCAATAGACGATGAGAGCGGAGAGGAAGAAATTCCTGGATTGAAACAATTCCTTGGAGTTGAAAGCGACCCTTCAGAAAACGAGATACGGCGCAGGAAACGATACAACGCAGCTGAAAACTGTTTGAATGCTGGAGACTCCTCATCCGAAGGAGACAAAGCAAGATCAAAGCAAATCCAGGACAAGAGAGCGAAGGCCAATGGGCGGGCGAAGCAAGACAGCAATACGAGGGAGTCAGCAAAGAAGACAGGCAAAGTGAGGAGTAATTCGCCAAGGGAGGATCAGGAAGGTTTTCTTGATACCAACCCTTTCTCAGTGGAATCCTCTCCCTCCAAGCAGAGGGTTTCACGTCCTGTGACACTCAACAGCGGCCGAGCCTTTCCCGCGGCACCCCATGATATGCAAGGACAGACCGGAAAGGAAAACTATTCAGGGATGGACAAAGGGGAACAGAAACAGACCCTGAGCCACAGGAAGCGATCAGCCGTGAAGCAGCTGCGGCAAGAGCTGAACAGCAAGACCGAAGCGGAAGGCATGAGCAGCTCGGAGCTAGAAGGCAGTGCGAAGGAATGCTTCAAGTCGGAAGCTCGTAGGAAGGTGAAGCATGTTGAGTCCTCCATGGAAGAGGAGAACTCCTCGCAAGTCGTCAAGAACCGTCACTCCAGAAGGACGCCTACTGCCTCAGCCCTCGCTGCTGAGACTCCCAAGTGGAAGCGGCAGGGCCGGGAGAAGCGGAAGGAAAGGTCGCTGGCGCGGGAGAGGCAAGCGGCTGACTCCGAGGAGAAGGACATCGACGTCTTGTTTCGAACTCCTGCCAAAGACTCTAGGGGCCACAGTAGTCATGTGGAGCCTTGGCAAGAGTCTCCCGGTGGTGCGTCAGGCCAACCCTCGCGGGTCAAGATCCGAGAAGCAGCTGGAGGATGCGAAACTCCGAGGACGGAGGTGACGAGGCTTGACTTCACCCCCAAACTCACGACCAGCCGCACGCGCATGCTCGCACGGAGCCCGCGCGCCATGCCTGAAGACGACCTACTGCGGACACCTCATCTGCCGTTCTATCCAGAAGCCAGCGAATCCGAGGGGTCAGTGCATAAATCTTCATCCAAGGACAGGCGGAGGGAGGGAGGAAAGCTGGCAGAGGCGACTGCTGCATCCTCCAGCAAATCGAGCGGTAGGAGAGAAGAGGAGAGCCCCAAGAAGGCTTCTCTCACCCCCAGATCTCTCAAGCCTGTCTCAACTCCAGACAGAACCAGGCGAGTGCTTGACGATATCAACACCTTCTTAGACAAGAGGAAGGAGAAGAAACAGCTGAGCTCGGCGGAAGTTCTGGTTGCTCGAGCCGCGTGTTCACACTCTAGAAGGAAAACTGCAAAGTGAGGTAGAGGTGCATATGTCGTGAAGGTGGATGTTGTATAAAGTTTCAATGGAGTAAACATAAAACAACTCAAAGCTCGCCATCCCTCATAAAATACACATCAGATCTTTGAGGTGGTTTGCCAGCGATCAAGCTCAACGGTTCTTTCCGTATCCGAAGATGCCGTTGTTGTTCACTGTTCCCCAGTTCCAGTTGAGAGGAGTAGGCTTGTCCACGTTGTTCAGGAAGGCGAAATCTGCAAAGAAGACTGACTGGAGGCGAGCGAGCCGAGGCGTCGGGACTCACCTGGGTCAACTGAACAATCAGGGTCGTCGCTGCTGTCAGTGGGGTTGAAACTGCGTCACGTTGCAGTCAAGACACTGCAGATGCAGAGGTTACAAGCAAACCTAATGTTGTCCCAGTTGGTCGTTGGCCCCGCGTTCTGACAAACAGAGTTACACCAACCACAAGCAAGACACGCAAGAGCGTACGCATATGCCATCGTAAGCTGCCTTCCTGAGTAATTGAAACCTGAACAAATGCGTGAATCCTCTCAGAAAGGTAGGTTTGCGAACGACAAAACATCAGCAACTAACACACCGAAAGATGTATTGGCAGCATGATGGATGGCAAGGAATATTATGAATTGTAGGGAGGGATAATTGAATATAAAATGCCATGGCTGAGAATGGAGACGCTCAATGAAAGGCAGCATGAGAAGAAGACGGCAGGCGCGGAAGAATTTATCATACAAGCTGTGAGAAGACGACACTATGACTTGAGGAGAACAAGGCTTTTGTGAGAACGAGAAACGTTGAACCGTGTAATATCAATGATCATCGTCACCAGATTCATTATCTATATCATCACAATATTTTGTCGCATCGCCACCATCACCATCACCATCGTCACATGTCATCCATCTATCTCTCTCCTCTGTGAGTTTCATCCTTTCAAGTTCTGCTGCATGCGACTCCAAGCTTTGAAGGTCAAACTTACATGGCGCTCAAGGCTGTTCCGGAAATAGCACAGCAGTTAAATTTTCAGACTATCCGTTACTTTTATAATTCGGACTCCCGCGGCGGGCGCCGGGCGCAGCCGCGGTGACTCCGGGCGGCGGCACAGCCCGGCCTGCCAGTGAAGAGCCGCCTGGCAGTGGGCGGCCGGCGCTCCCGGTCAGGCCCTGATCACCGTGACTGTGGCACCGTGATGGGACAGCAGTCGGCTGTCCGATCACAGGCTGTCTTCAAGTTTCGAGTCTCTGAGAGTCTCGCCGCGTTTGCCCAGCACGGTGACTCGGCCGCTGAGCCGCCCGGGGCCGGCCCGGGCCCGGTCCGATCAGATCCGGGAGTCCCCGGCCCCGGCACATGAATGCGGCCGTCCGATGATGAGGCGTTAAGTGAAGGTATCAGTTAAGTTTGGGGGACAGCAGTTTTATTACTTGCAGTGCGGCTCGGAACCATTGAAACGGACGTAACGGTTCTGAACCAACGGCTGCACCATGGCCGAGCACCATGCGCTGCTAGCGCGGCATCATGAGGGTCTCCTGCCTCCCCTCGAGCCCCACCTCCCGTCCTATCGTGACCCCTCAGCTGTTTCTGCGTTCCTTCCCGGATCGGTGGGACAGGCTGCTCTCCATCGTGGCAGCGATGTGCTTTCAACCAGGTTCCCCTACCCTGACCCAGCAGCTCACGAGCCACACCAGCCGTCTGTTGCATATGGGCGATCAGCAGTTTCCAAGACGCTACGAGTTCTCAAGGACCTTAGTGAGCAGCCAGAGGAGGAGGGTCAAGGAACCGCCGACCTCAAGAAGAAGAACCTGAAGGTATTGCTGGAATGCCTTGTGGACCATTCGAGCATTGGGGAAGCAATCATGCAAGGAGAGGATGGAGATGGGCTGGCTTTGCTGAAATCGTTGCTCTCGGATAGTGAGGCAGATGTGAGGAGGTATACTGCAGAAGTGATCAACAGATACTCGACACTGCTGCAAGGACGAAAGCAAATATGCGTTAGCGGATGTGTCGAAATGTTGGCGGATCTCCTCCAGGACCCCAGCTCTGCAGACGTTCGAATAGCAAGTGGGAAAGCGCTGAATCATCTTGTAACTGCCATGGATGCTCGGGACGAGATCTGCAACCATCCTGAAGGACCTGCGGTGGTGGTTAAGGTCGTCCGTGCGCTCCTGGCGATTTCAGCGAGGGATTCAGAGGTATATGCACTTCGCCATGCTGCATGTTCTGATGGTTTTGCGGCTAGATTTCGACACCCTCCTTGATTCCTATTCTCTACGAGTGCCTATCACATCTCTTGGTAGCTGAAAAGGCCACGGAGGTCTTGCATGCTTTTGCCAAGGTGAATTTGCTGAGATGCTTTCAAGCTCGCTTTGCAAGAGGATCTGGTTCCGCTTCTGATACACACGCTGAAACGAAGAATGCACAAAGTAGCAAGTCTCAAAGTTCTTGTAAGTTTCTGGTTGGACATCACGTTGTCTAAGTGTCCAGTTTAAGGTTTCTCTATGCGGCCATTCACAAGGAAAACGGGCAGCCATTGACAACGGAGGATTGCAGGTGCGAGTCTGCGATAGTGAGAAGCGTAACTGACATCATCAGCAGGCTATCTGTGGCATGCTTACCAGCCAAGAGACTGTTGAGCGTCAGGTTTGTGTAAACTTTGCCTTCAATCACCCCGTCATCCTTGACTCTCAGCTCTCCGCACGAGCAACTTTACTGATGTGCGTCGACGAAAGTGGGAAACACAAAGCAGGGATTCTAGTTCCAAATCTTGTACAACAGGTGAATATAATGCTCGTTTGCTGAATTCAGATGTAGCTAACCAGAATTCAGCTGTATTCGACAGATCATGATTTGTACAAAAATGCGCTTCTTGCAATCAGATCAATCTCTGAGTCGCCAAGTACACGTGTTCTAGTTATGAAGGTATGTATCGACTCCAGTACTGCTCCTTTGAATACGATTCAGGCACTTGAAGATGATCCCGAAATGCAAGCACGAGTTCACAACGACCACCGTGTCCACCTCGCCGCCTTTCGATACGAGACGGGCAGTCCTTCAACAGCCTGACTTTACTACGGTCCAAGTGAGAAGCCGTCGAAATACAGAGTTTTCTATTATCTGGCGCTATATGTACATAAGGACGGTTGAATTTCGCATATGCAAGACTACTCGTCTCATGCTGTGTCATGTCCTCTTGCAAAATATGACAGTCCCCGATATTCATTGTTATATTCACGCTGAGCGTGATGTGCCTGCAAAGAAGGTCATGATGGAAGGATTGTCGCAAACAGAGCAAGAGGTGAGTATGAAACGAGGTGATCAACAAGAGGTTGGATAGTCTGCAATGTGCATGATGATTGGAGAAGATCATACCTCGTCAATGAAGGAGTCGTCAAGACACCCAATGAACTGATAGCGCTCGGGGTCCTTACATCACGTATTAGCCAACAAATCAAAGGGATGAATCGAATGTGGTCACCAGCTGGTAACGACTATCAATCTCCGCTCGGATTTCTCTCGGCAACGGCTCTTCATATCCTTCTAGGGTTCCCGGATGGCTCGGTGTGCTGAAGCTGTGCTCTGGAACGCCGGTGGCAGTGTCCAGGAAATGTCCTTCACAGAGCATTTGAACGCGCGCTGGCTGTCGTTGCATTCGATTTAACATTACTGCTCCGCTCGGTCGAGAGGGTAGGACGACAAGAAGTAGGCATGTGACGGCGAATGCACAGAGAAGGACAGGAAGCATAGCGAGTGGAAGGGGCATGTTGCTGTTCCTCCTCTGCCGCCTCTCCTCCTGCTCTACTCCGATGCTACCATACGACACCATGAAGAGCCGCCTGATGTAACTTGTAACGATTTGAAACGGACTCAGTATGCTATTTTTGCTAGGCCCAGTAAACTTGACTCTTGAAAAGGGCCCGGGGGCCGCCTCCGACTGTCAGTTGAAAGTTGACTTGAAACTCCGACAGTCCCGGAGTCCGGGACACTGTGACGCGGTGAGACTCCACTGTGAGCCTCACGAGTCACGTGACGGTCTCCGTCAATTCATAATTCTCGGAACTTTGGACTCAGCCACGGTCACCCCGTAGCCGCGCCGATACTCGGATACGCGGCGGCGAGAAGAGAAACTTTCGGAAGCCTTACAGCGAGCCTGAGAACAATTCCCGGACAGTGGCCACTAAGTTTACGGAGGCTAACCGTCAGCTCTGAGTCTGCACCACCGCCGGTCAGCCTCCGAGGCTCCGAGGCTCTGCCGCCGCGGCGCCGCGGCGCCACTGGGCCAGGCGCTGCCAGTGAGCCGGAGCGGCGGCGGCGGACCGTACGGTCCGGGCGGCGACTCGTCACCGGTGACTCGGGATCACGATGATGATCACAGTGACTGATCGGATTCGACTCAGTCGGGTGACTCCCCGGGCGGCGGGCCGGGAGCCCAGCGGCACGGACTCCGGTACGGTCGGCGATGATCAGTGTCCGAGTCCGAGACCGTACGGCCCGATCCGATGATCATCGCCGGAGTCGGATCGGGCTACCCGGTACCGTGATACTAGCCGGCGTGACTCCGTCACTGGCACCACTCGTCAGTGACTGTCACACTGTGTACCCGGTCACTACCGTCCGTACCGTACTGCAGGCCGGGCCGGGCCCGGGGCACGGTGACGCCCGCGGCCGTACGGCACTCAGCGGCGGCCGCGATTGAACTTTCGAAGGCCGCCCGGTACGGTACGGTACGCCGGTACTACGGTACGTTAGTCACCCGCTGCCAGCGAAGCACACCGTGGCACCGTGTGACAGGTGACCGGCCCGGATTATGTTAATCACCCCCATGGCCCGTGAGAAGTTGATCGGACAGTGTCTCAGTCACTGTCTTCTGTCAGTGTGAACGTTCGCTGAGCGGCTTGTATGTCCCGTGCCAATAAAACCTGACTTTTAAAGTCTAAAATGAACTTTGAGAGGGATATATAATTATTGTCCACCTTGAACTCGTACTGCTCTAAAAGTTATATATAAATATTTAAATATACTTTTAATCGCTTCTATGAGTGTCGGACCTGCATGCTGCTTTCCGGCTACGTACCTGCTGCCGCATGCTCCACCATCAGGTGTACCCCACCCTTGGATATTCATATTCATGGGAATAAAACGGGTGGTGTCCTTAATAGGGTCCGGCTTACAATTATGCGTATCGGCCCTGTGTAAAAGAGGCAGCCCTCAACAATTCGTACCATGAAGAGTTTGTATGAGCTATAACTCAATTTTGAAGTATAAACTATAGTATTGAGTTGTACTGTAAGCAATCATCCTATACAATTTTCACATATATTATTTTAAAATACAACCCTTATATATATAGAACAAATATAGACTTAAAACAATTCTACAGCTCCGAGCGAACGCGCATGGGAACAGCATCTTCGCAAGAGCGGATGTGCTGACCCTCCTCTCACATCCCCCCCCCTCCTCCCAGCTTCCTTGGAATCCGGCTGCCTCAAAACATCTATCCTCTTCTGGAGTTGAGATTGAGCTCATATTCCACGTGACTCCTTCCAGTTTCAGTCACTAGTCTCTCGGACCTGAAAACAGGGAATGAGCGGATCCTCTCCGGTCGCCTGAGGCACTGAGTCACGAAGGGATCTCTTGAATCGAAGTGATGACTGTTGAAAACAGAACCGTGAAGATCTGCAGCGTTGCAGACCCTTCCTCGCCCGACGCAAACGGGGTTTCTTGCGATAACTCTTACATTCTGTATTACCAAAGAACTTGCGACTTCCGGTCATGTCGATCAAAGGTTTGTAAGTTGAAAGCGACATGTGACCATCCTTTCACGGTCACTAGAGTAGAGGACTCTCAATGTGAGTTCCTGGGGAAGCAGCAGGATCTTGTTGGGCTGAGCCTGGACGAGGCTGCGGGATTCAGTGTCACCTCGTCATGGACGTTCAAGAGGGCAGTTTTCCTTGCCATGTCCAATCCAGGGTACCACGTATCGTTCACACTAGAAAGACCTGCACAGATGCAGCTCTATTTCTTTGTTATGACGATGGAGGATGTAGAGGACGCTCCAGGTCAACTTGCCCTGGAGAGCTTCCGCATTCCACAGGAATCGCCCGTATCTTTGGAGCCCATGGCACATTCCAGCAAGCAAAGTAACCTTCTCTCGAGCTCATTCTCGTCGTGGACAAGCACAATCTATGAGCCAGAAACAATCTTGAATTTCAACCAAGATGACTCTTGCCACATTCGTATGGAGGACAGGCAGCTAGTGGGAGCCACCAGGAACCCACTAGAAATGCAGCACACTCAAGCATTCATTGCAGCTGACCTCGTGCGACGAGTTTCCATGAAAAAAAGCGCTTGCAATGGGCAAGGTGCAGAGGGATCGGATGTGAAAAGGGGATGTTTCAGCCATATTTGTAGAAATATCATGCACTTTCATCGCAAGTCAAAGGATTTTCCAGATCCGACAGCCGATTCCAACAACGATTTTGTGCCTCCTCAGATATCATTGCACTTCGAAGATTCTGCATGCAATTCCACTTGCAATATGGAGCATAAATCAGATAAGCAGGAATATGAAGATCGTGTCAGAGCTGATGGAGCAGGCTCGCAGAAGATGAAAATTCATAAGAAGTAAGTTGACGCTAACGAACTTTCACATCTTGTTTCCACTGATTTGCGCTTGTTTTGCAGATTTTGGAGATTGTTGCGAAAACCACGAAGTGTTCCGTTCAAGTCGAACTCCGTCACCCGGTGAGGGAGTATGAAGCCTTGAAGTCACGGCAGTGTACTGTATTGAAGTTGATCAGGCCGGGATTCTGATATTATGATCATTAAGAGTATTGTTTCCATTCAAAATTCCGTTCCCGGCCGACTCCCGGAGCCTGGTCTGGGCAGTCGGACCCGGCCTTTGACAGAGGCTGAGCCTTGCGTCACACTCATCATACTGAGCTCGGAGTCACCTGAGCCTACCGGGGCTGCCAGCCTGCTGAGGCGCGGCGGCTGCGGCACCGTGGCACCGTGCCTCCGAGCTCCCCGGCGCCGCGGTCCGGGTCACCGGGCCAGCGGAGTCATGCCGCTGCCGCCGATCAGTCCGACCTCTGTATCCGATCATGGCAAGCCTGTAGGATCAGTGGGTGGTACCCACACTCCCCAGTGCCCCCGGCGGCCGGGCCCCAGGCCCGGGCCTGCCCGGCGCCGCGGCCGCCAGGGACAACGGTGGGCCAGCCTCGGAACTTGAAAAGAGAGCTGGGGATGAGGGGGGCCAGACGACCCATTTTAACAAAAAACTTGCGTCTTTACTACCCCTCCTTTTTCCCAGATGAAGCTGGGTACTACAAGAGCTCACAAGCCACCCCCTGACACCTTCGATGGAACGAGGGAGGCAGGAGGGGGTGGGGTGAGTCTAAATGGGGTAGGGGCAGAGCGGATGTGAGCTGATATTGGGTGGGGGTAGTAGACTGGGGATATCGAGGGGTCTATTCAGATAGGGTGAGGGATTTCTGAGGTGGGTAAGGTACTCGATACTGGGGTGGTTTGTAGGAAGATAGGGGGGGTTGGGGTACATCGCCAGCTCATCGGCATGGGCGGGGAGACGTCGCGTCCCGTGCGGTTCAACCGAGTATGCGCGGAGGAGGTGGAGGGAAGCGACCCCTACTGGGCGACCCTCCTGCAACACCCACCCGCTTCCTTCGCCGCCATCCCCTTCGATTCTATCCGAACAGCGCTCAAGGACCGCCCCCGCAACCTCGCGCTCCTGTCTCGTCATGCGGTAGCGAAGCTTCGCAAGGCTGCGGCTTCCACCAAGTCCTTCACTCCTATGGAGCAAGAAGCTGTCTTGGGAGCAGCTGCTGTGCTTTCTCGTCTCTTGCCGGTGCTCTTTGAACAGGAACACGAGCACAAGTTCGTGGAGAATGTTTTCTGGTACGGCAAGTTGCCTCCCTCGTCCAAAGCAGGGACCGCGGAACAAGACGAGCAAGATGCCTTGGCACTTCCACTGCTCGAATCTTGCATCGCACTTCTGTTCAAACCTGGATTCACGTGCTCCTCTGTCGAAGAGAAGACCACTGGTTGGTATGGAAGCTTGGCAAAGTCTACGACTTCAGGGCGATCCAGGCAGTTTGATCAGGCACGCACAGAAATGCTGCGACTTCTCCTCGTGTGCTGCTCCAGGATCCTGTTCATTACTCCTGAGGAGTATCGCAAGAGTGAAAATCCGTTCCTGTCGTACCTTTCTACTCGTCCCAAAGAGGAAGCGAGTGCTCTTTTCCGATCGCTCACCGCGGTGATCTTTAGTTACGATCCTGTTGGTCTAGGCATCCCATACAGCAGGTGAGTTTCAAAACTCTATCTCAGAACACCTGCAACGCTATGTCGTTGAACGATGTCTGATGTTGTCTCTGGCATACTGCCATTGCTGCTGAGCTAACAATTTTTGCCAGTGCCGTAATGGCTGACAAGAGGGAGCCTGTGGTTGACGTGGCGGTTCAGCTATTGATTATCTTGCTCGACTATAACATTCCGTCAAATTTGGTCTGATGTTTCATGATCGCACACGTCCATCTCACCTTGAGGTGTTTCAGGGCAAGCAAGGCAACAGTGCAGGAGTCACAACGGAGAAGATGCTTGACACGGTCAAGACTGAGGCGAACGCTCCGAATACTTCTAACTGCTTCCGGTACTTGTCTTGTAGAGGTTCGATGGCGTCTTGACTCGAAGTGGCAAGGAATGCTGTGAGAGAATGGAAGGAGGAAGAGGAGTTCGAGTTTGTCTTCAACGGATTCTGCAGACTCCTCAATAACCCACACCAGGTTTTTCTTTGATAAGGAATTCGTCGGCTCATTTGTCTTAGGCAAACAGTACGATATTGCCTTCATCCATGAAACAAATCTCTTGCTTCCAAGAGGTCAGTCAAACTGAGACTGGTGATCTTGTGACGTTTCCCCACTCAGCTGCTCATTCTCTTCTGGAAGCTTATTGACGAGAATAAGAATTTTTTGAGGTGCTTGGTCGGATGTTTCAAAGTGACGTAGCTGAAAATTTTCAGCTACATTTTGCGAGCAGGAGACATCAATGAACTTGTTGTGCCAATGTTGTACTTCATGGTTTTTGATAATCTCTTTGGGACCAGATTTTTTTAACATCTTTTTCAGTACGAGGGACGGAAAGACCCTTCAAAAATTGGTGAGATATGAACCTGAAGAAGATCGATGCATGGTGTTGATAGTGCCGGCAGGTCTCATCCACATTTGTACTTTCATTCTCCTGCTTCTATCGGGCGAGAGGAATTTTTGCGTCAATTTGAATGCATCCTTCCACAAGAAGCTGCCTGTAATCAGTGATCTTTTCAAAGATGATTGTCTTTGATGGAAATCGTGTAGGTTGACCTGCCGCCATTCACTGGCAACCACGCTGACTTACTCTACATCGTGATTCACAAGCTGATGACGGATGGTGATTTCATAAAACATTTCTCCACTGCAGTAACAGTTGATGTCTTTCACAGGACCACACAAGCTTGACACGCTATATGACTGCTTCCTCACGACTATGAGCAATGTTTCCCCTTACATTAAGGTTCCCAGACTTGACTGCCTTCTGCATCACTTGACCCACCCAACATATTCCTTCCCCTCCATATCAGGGAGCAGATTTAACTCATGTGCCAGACTTTCTGTATGCCAGCAGCGCTTCGTGCAACCAACTTATTCGAGATGTTCTCAAAGAAGAGTAAGCTGCTTTCCAACGAGCAGTATCCCAGGTCAGTCAGCTTGTATCTATGTACAAAGTCCTGCTCAGAGTTGGAACAGGTACCTGGTGTTTACACTGGAAGTGTTCAACAATGTCATACAATATCAATACGAGGGGAACCCACATTTTATCTATCAGATCCTCAGACGCAAGAAAGTCTTCGCTGAGTTGTCTGAGATCATGGAAGGGACAGGAATTGACGAGATCTTGAACAAGGAGGCTCCACAGGCGCAGGTAGATCTTGATGGTGAAAGGACGGGATTTCTTACACTGCAATGTAGGAGGGAGAACCTCCGAGGTTCAAACCAACGGCTGAGTGGGTGCGATCATGGGCGACAGACCTTCCGGTCCAACCTTGCCTGCGATTGATGCAACACCTTCTGCCCCAGCTGGAGCAGTTCTGTATGACGGGCAACGTCAACGACGAAGGCATCGTCGTAGATTTTCTCAAGGTCCTCCGTCAATCGCCTGTGTGAAACTCACCTGTCGTCTCAGACGACCACAATGGTGGGGCTCCTCCCTGTCCCTCATCCAATCCTCATCCGGAAGTACCAGCAAAACGATTTCACCAGGTGACTTTCAGCATTCGATGGTGAGGGCTTGGCTGATCCAACTTTCAAGTCTGTGGTTCACGACCTACATCTGGGGTGTAATCTATCTCCGCAATCAGTACGCCCCGTACACTTCTGCGTCTCCTGCACTAACGGACGTACCAGGCAACCCCAGCTGTTTGACGCGAGCTACATCCGTCTCTTCACCATCAGGTACTCGTGGCTCTGTGGGTGTCCGGCCCGGGCTCTGACGCGTCTCATCAGCTACGTGGACGCCTGAGGCCTCCGATGGGTCCCTAGTAGTATCATGATGATTGAATAAAAAAGACTAAGAAGGTCCGATGAGCCCGCCTCAGACTCTACAAAACCCAGCCCGCCTCAGAAAGTTTTTCGTTTTTTTTCTCTCTCTCTTTCTTTTTCTCTTTTTTTGTGTCCTTTCGCTCATCTCCTTGCCATGGGTTCAGACATGGCGAAGTGCGTCATGAACATGCAGGAGGCATGAGGCGCCGCTGCCTTTCCCTCCCCCTCCTCCTCCCCCTCCTCCTCCCCCCTCTCCTCCTCGCCGCCTACATCCTCCTCGTGGGAGAATGGCAGGTCACTCGAAGAGGGGCGGTGGGGCTCCTACAAGCCAAGGGAGGGCAAAAGCTGCACTCCGACAGCTACGATCTTCTGCCCTCATACAACAGGATGAGACCAGATGATGAAGACGAGCATCTTCGGCACACGCCGGGAGAATGGGGCTACTGGGACGGAGAGAACGACGGATGGAGGGACGGGTGGGAGAAGCGAAGGAAAGCCTTCTCGCCGCTCGATCCCGACAAGTATGTGGATGAGAAGGGAGACCTCAAGGACGGAGGAGGTTGGAAAGCCTACGCTGATGACATCAATGGTGGGCCCAATGACAAGGGCTCGTACCAACGAAAGGGAATGGCAGAGGAGACGGATCCCGACACCGGCATTCCTCGAGGTCACGAGTGGGACCTTTACCACGGCATGACTGAGACGGTGAGGCTCGTCAGCTCTCGCGGCTTCTGATCTCTTGGCAGCCTCCTGACTTCAACGATCGGCCTGCAAAGGTCGCGCCCTGGTGCGACTCTGTCCTCGGATGCCTGCCTCCATACGCCCCCACAGGCAGCCCGCACAATGGATTTCGGGAGCCCGGAGCTCTACAGGTGAAGAAGGAGAGAAGGAGAGGCGAGAGCTGACGGCTGTGTGCCAGTGGTCTTGGCCGTATGACTCTCAGCGCGAAGTCCAGTACAAATCAAAGAATTCAACGAGTCTGACAGGTACAAGCTTTTCTCGTCGCCTCTACGATTGAAACTGGTCGGCAGATGCTGAGGCTCAGGATTTGATGAAGCGAGTGGTGGCGATGAACAGGCAGAGCGCGTTGATGAATGAAACGGCAGACATTCCCGTCAGCTCAAACCTGCCAGGGAGGAAAAAATCAACAGAGAGCGGGGGCATGGAGAGGTACCGATTGCTTTTATCTCCCTGTCTCTCTTTGAGGCAAGGCTTTGCAGGCAGAGGCTTCCGCAAAAGAAGATCATCCAGAGCTTGGGAGGGAAGAAGGAAGGCTTCACCATGCGCCTGTACGACTTCGTCTCTGAATGTGAGCGAGGCCCCGGCGCTGAGCAACTCTGCCCCCTGAACTCGATGCCGGACGACGTGGATGGCTTGCCCTTCCTGGGGGAGGCTGTGGTTCCTGACATCAACTTCAACGGCTTTGAGTCCTTCCGCTCCTTCATCCCCCAAGCGACTGAGTCCTTCCTGGCCGTCTGGTGGGGGGTGCTGCCCATCGAGCTCTTCGACCGGTACACGTTCTGTACTGAGGGCGGCTCGGACGGCATCAGAGTCTTCGTGGACGGCAGGCTGGTCACCAACAATGACGGGCGGGGGCTTCGGACGAGAGCATGCGGGAGTCTGAACCTGCTGGCGGGCCATCACTACATCCGCGTCGACGCCTTCGCTACTCGCCGCGACATCTGGCGGTGGGGCGTCCAGAAGCGAGTGACCTACTACGGGGCCCGGACTGTCACCTCCGAGACTCAGCTGAAGAGCGTGGACGCGACTCCGTTAGCCGTGATGCCTCAGACAGGCTTGGAAGGCTTCGGAGATGTCACGCCTGGTTATCACCTCATCGTCTACACCTTCTACCCGGCTCTCAGCCCTCCCACCACCTTCCCGAACCTCCTCGAGCACAGCCCCTTCGCTCATGCTCTCATGGAGAAGCTGGAGGTGAGCTGGAGCGACATTGTAGGCAAGTGTGACGACACGCTGTTTCCGGACGTCGGCTCCGTCGCGTTCAGTCTGGCGGGTCGGTTCAAGATCACCTACCAGGGCCAGTACACCTTCTGCCTGCAGTCAGTCGATGGCTCGCGGCTGCACGTGGACGGAGAGTTCTTGATCGAGTCTGACGGCTCGTCGCCGGTCGACACCTGCAAGGAGGTCCCGCTGCGGCAGGGGGTTCACACCATCCACACCGACACCTTCAAGAAGCAGGCCCCCGCCGGCGCGAGAGTGAAAGTGACGTACAGCGGGCGAGACACTAACTTCCAGAAGAAGCTGGTCGACAGCTTCGACGCGCGCTACAACGCCGGCCAGCCCGCGCCCACCAACACCAAGGCAGGGTTCCGGATGTTCATCTTCAAGACTCATCCTGGTTCTCCTGCTGGGATGGGATGGCAGGACCCTGAAATGGGGCAAGTCTGCACACCCCCGGACCCCCGAAACAACCAGGTGGGACCCCTCGGACACGCTGCGGTCTACGCCCCTCCCTTGTACTGCGAGTTCTCCTTCGCCTTCGACCTTACCAAGGCGCCGCCGCCAGGGCTGCCCAACTACTGCTGCTACACTCCCCCTTGGCTTACCTCCTCGGCCCCCGTCTCTGAGTCCATTGTGCCGGCGATCAACTTCGGGTCAGTGGCTGACCTCAAGGTCTACAACCCCAAGCAGACGGGCAACCAGTTCGGCTGGAAGATCTACGGGAACTTCGTCGCCCACGAGTCTCGCTTGTACTCCATTTGCATCTTCGCCTCCTCTGGCGCGCGGCTGTGGATCGGAACTTCTGTGTAAGGAGGCAGCGCAAGATGCGAATCTCTGAGCCATGACGGGCAGGTGGGAGAACCCGAAGCATCCGACCATCAACTTTGATGGGCTCAAACTCTCACCCTACTACAGATGCGAGAACGTCTGGGTAAGGCTCCCCCTCCCTCCCCCTCTTCTTCCCCTCCCCCTCTTCTTCCCCCTCCCCTTCCTTTCCTCCCCCCTTTCTCCTCCTCCACTTCCTCTCACCATTCTTGCTAGCTCGTTGAAGGAATCTACCCTGTCGTCGTCGACGGCTTTCAGAACATGGGCGCGTTTTCGGTCTGATCACCTGATCCCCTCATCCTTCATCTCTCAACCCTCATCCCCGCTTTTCCCTCCCCTTCCCCTCACCGCTGGCACGCTGACAACAGCTGCAGCTCACGGTGACCGTGGACGGGTCTCTGATGACTTCAGTGGATGCGGGTGAGGAGGAGGAGCAGGTGGAGGAGCAGGTGGAGGAGTGACGTCGTTGCTCAAGGGAAACCTGTCAACTCCGAGATCAAACCCAAGATGAAGCAGACAGCTCCTGCAGTCCTGCATGCCACCGAGCAAAGAAGAGACGAGGGGCAGGAAGAAGATGCAGCAGCACGACAGGAGCTGAGGCGGCAGCTGGAGCTGGAGGAGGTTCGACCAAAGATTCTCTTCCTCTCGAGCTAATGTCGTCTTCAGCGTCGGTCAAGACTTATCAGACAGCAGCTGGGCAGCAAGGTGAGGGGGAGCTGGGGTGTGTCTGTCACTTGACCTTGAGGAAGGTGCAAGCGGAGGAGAGAAGGGATCAAGGAGCTCGCGCGGTCTCTCGAGGCGTCCTTGATGTTCTTCGGCATAGGATGAAGCTTGTTCGCCTCGCGTGAGCTGCTGCTTCTGCTGCTGCCAAGCTGCTGCTGAGGGAGAGCAGGTCCTTGAAGGCGAGGAAGCGCTTCCTGCTACAGCAGTGCAAGACCAAGAGAGACGCGGATCAGAAGGCTTGCAGCGAGTGCGTGCTCTCCTCCTCCTCGAGCTCCTCGTGCCTCGAGGAAGCGCAAACCCAACAGCTCGCGATGATAGACGAGGATCAGGACAAGGGGGCCAGCAAGCCTGAGGCCTCACACGTTCACGGTAGCAAGAAGGCAACAGAGAGTGAGCATGGGAGAGTTGGCCGAAGCCACAAGGGAGCGATCCCGGTACAAGGAGGCTGGAAGATCATGCAGAGAGACCTGAGGCAAAGAGGTTCTCCTCCCTCTCCCCCTCCTCCTCCTCCACCTCCTCCTCCTATTCCTTCTCCTTCCTCCTCTTCTCTCTCGTCTCATCCTCCTCCTCCTCCCTCCTCGTCTGGCGAGTCTGACGTGGCTCAGGCCGAAAGCCCCTCAAGGTCTCCCAGCTCTATCGCGGGCCCAACTCAGATGTGAAGACTGCTCCTCACAACAAGGTAGCTCCATGGCTGCGCTGCTGGGGTTGACCTGGAGGGCAGGCGGGGCCACGAGGGTGGGAAGGAGGCGGTTCTGGAAACTGGCGATACTACGACCACACAGACGCCAAGGTCAGGGCAGAGGGGAGGAGGAGGAGAGGAAGAGGCTGACGTGGCTGCTACCTCAAGGTGCGGACGGAAATCGACGAGCACACCAAGGTGGACCCTCCTGGCGTTCCCTACTGGAAGAATTGGATCTGGGACAGGGTGAGGGGGAGAGGGAGGGAGGAGGATGAGACTGACGGGCAGTAGGAGCATCATCACTCCATCGACAAGGACTGGTACGGCGAGCTGACTCACGACAAGGACGGCAACCGCAAGCTTGAACCTTCCTTCTACTACGATGGTGTAGTGGTGAGATGCTAGTGCCTTCTACTTGGAGCCGACGAGGCTGGCAGGATGGGGAGTGGCATGACGGATGGGAAGACTACCGAAGAGATTTTAACGAGGTCATCATCATCATCATCATCATCATCATCATCATCATCATCATCATCATCATCATCATCATCATCATCATCATCATCATCATCATCATCATCATCATCATCATTGACTCCTATTGTCAATCTGCGTAATTTTGGATGTCAGGGTGCGACGCCATGGGGGGGCGAAACGACGCGCAAGATCTGGGGAAAGGAAGTGAAGACGAACGTGGACGGCTTGCAGGACCCACAGCACATTGGAAGTGTTGGGATCGACGACGAGGGCTGGGCGCGAGCTCGAAGAGACTTGACGGTCCACTATCGCACAGACTTCTACCCTGCATTTGACAAGCTCCATCCTGACTACCGGTACCCGGCCTCACTTCCCTTCCCAACTTCCTTCGCCATGCTCCCTTCCTCCTCCCCTTCCTTCTGCTCATCTTGCGGTCAGGCGGCTGCGGGATGGGCACGGAAAAGTTCGGTATCAGGGGGAGCTGATCCCGCCCGCTGGAGAGAGACTGGGCCACTTCGGAGACTCGATGCTGCTGCCTGGGTCTTGGCTGGCGTCAGAGGATTACTTCTCGAGCTTCATCGACTCTGTGGGAGGAGAGTACCGCTTGATCATGCAGGCCGACGGGAACGCAGTCGTCTACCACATGCATGGCGCACAAAAGCTGTCATCTTCACGCCAGGCCGGCAGCAAGGTTGGAACGTGTGGCAGGAGAGCTGGCTGAACGAGGAGCAGGTGTGGGAGAGCGGGTCTGCAAGGAGAGGCACTCCTCCCTACAGGTGCTCGCATAGCGAGTGATGGGATGATGACGTGGCTGCAGGCTCTACTTGAAGGGACAGAATGTGCTTGTGATCTACGACAAGCACAAGTCAGAGGTTTGGAGCAGCGGATCGTCGGGGCAGGTGAGGCCTTGAAGGGTTGGGACCTGCTGATGCCGTGCAGGAGCGCGAGAACTCTGTCAAAGTGAGCGGGGAAGGGAAAGGGATGGGAGACACGTTCACGAGGGGGGGCTTGAAAATGCATCAAGACGGGGCACTGGTCCTCAGAGATCAGTTCGGGAACGAAGTTTGGCGAGCTGGTATGTCATAACCCTGCACGTTTCTCTTGCTCGCGTGCTCTTCCTGCCTGTGCTTCGCTACTCGTGCGTTCCCATCCCACCTCCCCTTTTCTCCGGTCCTCTCGCTTACCTTGACGAGGACAACGCAGGCATTCACACCAGTCAACGGCATTACACGTAGCTGAGGCTGGGCGATCTAGTGTACATACAACAAGTGAAGCTGAACTCGCTCAAGCAAGGTCAAGCCTGGTCCTCCACCGCAGTCATCCATCCCTTCTTGAACGCCTTGGGTACGTCGGACGAGGAGGGATGGTCGTAGACAGGAGGAGGTCTGAGGGTCTCGATGGCCATCAGGAGGTCTACCTCACTGATCGCGCGCTGAGTGCGAGGAGTGACGAGGTGGCTGAGAATATCTTCCGTCACTGCCATCTGAACGCCTCCTCCTCTCTCCCGTCCCCTCTCCCGGCTCGTCTTTGCTGCATGCCATACACCCTTGTGCTGACCCGAGCCCTGCGAGGAAAGCTACGTCAAACTAACGATTCCTAAGACCTCTTGTTGCACCTCGTCGATGGACGGGGAAGAAGAGGAGGGGGCAGAAGCTTGGTTGTGCGAGCTGCCTTGTGCCTTGAGTCTCTCAATTATCCTGTCTTTCTCTCGCAAGCTCTTCTCCATCCACCTCGTCCTCTCGGCTAGAAGATTCTTGCGGTAAAACATTAGATCCTCACCCTCAGTGAGAGCACTCGCCACCTTCTCGTCCTCAAGTCGCGCAACCTTGTTGGTGAGGTCTTCTTTGTCTCTCTGCAGTCTTCTGATCGTGTCAGCGTGTCTTTCTGCTGGTCGGAGAGACGAGCTCCCGTTCTCAATCGCCTCGTCCTGCCCTCCACTTTTTATGACGCCAGTCTCCAGCGCTCGGCATGCGATGGCGCGGAGGCTGAAGAGAAGCCAATGAGTCAGCATGAATCGACATCATCACAACAGCAAGAGGCTGGTTCTCACTCTTCGATGTAGAGGAGCTGACGCTGCTCGCGCAATCTCATGCGGTGCACCAATGCGCGGAGTTCTGCCATGTCCAGGCCCTCCGTCTCTTTCTGGGCTCTGCTGCCTTCGCAGGCTTCTAGATCAGCGCGGGGGGTGGGAGGGAGAGGTGGTATGAAGTGAGAGACGTGCGAAGAGGGGGAGGAGGGAGCAGGGGGCGGGGAGGAGGCGGGGGGAGCCGCTAACGATCGTCCTTGCGCCATGTCGTATCAAATAGGATGACAAGCGGAGGGTTGTAACCCGGTAACCCGGGTAGGGTGGTACAGTAGATATGGAAGGGGTAGGGGGTAGGGTCTTGATGGTACCTGGTGGCGGTCAAAAGATGGGAACAGGTGGGGTAGGGTCATAGTGGGGACGTGCAATGTTGAGCCACTGAGTTGTCGGTACCCCCCCCATTCACTACCGTCCAGTAGGTCTCGGTACCCTACCCTTACCTTTACCCTTACCCCCTACTACCCCCACCACTACCCCTACCCTCCAAGTTTTGATTTCAATCGGTTCCGTTGGGAAGATCGAGAAAAAAAAGGCTTTTTACTTTTAACCTTTTGCCACCCCCTACCCCCACCCCCCTACCCTTTTGCCACACCCCTACCCCCACCCCCTACCCACCTTTCCGATACCCACCCCTTCCACTCACTCATAGAAGTGACTCGGCCCGGCGAGGCTGCCCGGCCCAACGGTCAAACAGGCCCGCTCAGGGTCAAAGTCAGGGACAGCACCAGATATGTCTGAGATTTATCTATATAAGTATTGCTGCCATTATCAATAATCTTTTAAATCTCCCCTTATAAAGGCCCTAGCTACGAGCTTACCCTGCTGATATTCCCATGCCGTCTTCGTCTCCTCTCCTCCTCCTCCTCCTCCTCCTCCTCCTCCTCTCCTCCTCTCACGCATTTCTCCTTCGCCCTCAACTCCTACGTGTTCGATCAATGGCTCCTCCCTCCTGTCTTCTGCCGGCCCGCCCTGCTCGAAGTTGGTATAGGGTCCCGCGTGGCAGGAGGAGGAGAGATGTGGTCATGCAGCAAGAAAGGTCAACGGTGATAGAAAGAGGTAGCAGCAGAGAAGCTGGAGACCTTCCCTCCTCTCTCTCCTCTCCTCTCTCCACGTCAGGCAACTCAGACATGTCTGCATTCTTCAACATAGCAAAGGCCATCGTTGGCGCCGGCAGTTTTTCACTTCCATGGGTGCTGGAGAACGAGGGGTTGTTGGGAGGAACTTTAACGATCGTTGTCTCTGCTGCTCTAGCGTCTTACACCATCACCTCTCTCATTGACAGTAAGAACATCGTCGAGCGAAACACCGACAGGTCCGGAAGCTCCTACGTGGACATCGCCAGGGAAGTTCTCGGGAAAGAGACGGCCAACTTTGTTTTCGCCATGACCGTTCTTGCCAGCATGCTTGTGTGCAGGTATGAGAGATGATAGTGCCGCAGTATCGCAATGATGAAACGATGATTCTCTGTCTCAGCTCCTACATCGCATTCGTTGGCTCGACCTTGCAGACTCTAGCAGCACAGGAGGTTCGAGCTCTGTCATCTTCCCATGAGCCTGACAGACGTCTGGCAGGGGAGCATGCTGCACCAGATCCTTCCAGGCTTGAGCTCCAGACACCATGCCAGCAACTGACGGGAGCGCAGACTTGAGCAAGGACCAGGTGCAGGTAGCTGCGCTCGGGTTCGTTCTGCCAGTGAGTCTCGTTGAGGAGACGCTTGTCACCGACATGAAGTTCAGGTGTCGTGGTTGAAGTCCTTCGAGTTCTTGTCCTTCACCAGCACCCTCGGTCCCTCTCCCTCTCCCTCCTCTCCTGGCTGACCTGCGGCAGGCACTCTCTCCGTCCTCGCAGCCTTGATCACTGTGCTCATCGATGGGCTGGGCCACCAGGTTCCTCGTTGCTCCTCCTCCTCCCCCTCCTCCTTCTCTTTCTTTTCTTGTCCTTTTCCTCTATTCTCAAACTGTCGCCCAGGGATCGTTGGATGCGGTCACCTCTGCCTTGTCCTCCCTCCCGCTCTGGCCAGGTCTGCCTCTGAGAGGGTCACGCTGCTACTGACGGGAGTCAAAAGACTCGTTCGAGTCCTACTTCAAGTCGCTCGGGAGCGTGTTAGTCGTCTGCTTTCTGCCCCCCGTCGCTCTGACCCTCTCCCAGCCTCTTCCTCTTCTGCGTTAACTTCCTGGTCTTCCCCATCGAGAGGGTTCGACATGCTCTTCTTCCTCCCGCTGCTCCTCCTTCCCTCCATCCCTCCTTCCCGCCATCCCTCCTTCCCGCCATCCCTCCTTCCCTCCTGCTCTCCATCCCTCCTCCTCTCCTCTCCTCCCTTCCCTGTTTCTCTCCTCTCCTTCTCCCGTCCCCTCCTCCCGCAATCTCTTGCTCTTACCTTGTGCCTCCAGTCAATGAAGAATCCTGGGAACTTTGACCGAGCTGTCAACGGAGCTGTCTGTACGTTGACATCCGTTGACTGGCACAGTCTCTCACGGGCAGCAGGGACCACTGCATCTGTCAACATCCTCTTCGCGGCCCTCGCCTTCTCCTTCTACGGGCAGGTAGACGAGAATGGCCTCCTGAGACGATTAGAGGAAGAGAGAAGGGAAGGAGAAATGAGAAGCGGGGAGAATGGGGGGAATGCGTGGTTGGGGGAGGAGAGAAGAGGAAGGAGCGAAGGGCGAAGAATCAAGGGAAGAGAGGGAGGAATGAGGTAGGCGAAGGTGAAGGGAAAGTGAAAGTGAAGGTAGAAGCAATGCGGGGGTGAAAGTGAAGGTAGAAGCAATGCGGGAGTGAAAGTGAAGGTAGGAGCAATGCGGGGGTGAAAGTGAAGGTAGAAGCAATGCGGGAGTGAAAGTGAAGGTAGGAGTAATGCGGGGGTGAAAGTGAAGGTAGAAGCAATGCGGGGGTGAAAGTGAAGGTAGAAGCAATGCGGGGGTGAAAGTGAAGGTAGAAGCAATGCGGGGGTGAAAGTGAAGGTAGAAGCAATGCGGGGGTGAAAGTGAAGGTAGAAGCAATGCGGGGGTGAAAGTGAAGGTAGGAGCAATGCGGGGGTGAAAGTGAAGGTAGAAGCAATGCGGGGGTGAAAGTGAAGGTAGAAGCAATGCGGGAGTTTCTTCTGCCTCTAAGAGGGCGGAGGGATGAGTGACAAGGGGGAGGAAGGGAGGTGGGGGAGAAGCTGAAACTGAGCAGGAGACTCAAGACATTGTTCTCAACAACCTCGGACCTGGCAACGTCCTCACAGCCGTCAAACTTCTACTGTGCGCCGACCTTCTCCTCACCTACCCGCTCGTGTTCGCTGCGGGGCGTGAGATCCTTGAGAACGCGTTTCTCAACGATGAGGAGGAAGGGGAGGAGGGAAATAGGACGGAAGGACTACCGGTAGTGTCGGGGAAGAAAGCGCTGCTCCGAACGAGCCTTGTAGGGTTCACGTTGCTCGTGGGCAACCTGAAAGGTCTGGCTTTGTTGCTCTCCTCCTCCTCCTCCCCCCTGCCTTTCTTGCTTCATCGCCTCAGTCTCATCCTTGCATCTTCTCACTTCTCCCCAGGTTTTGGTCTCATCACTAACATAGCAGGAGGTCTAGCTCAAGGTCTCCCTCCCTCTCCCTCCCACCCCTCTCTCCCTCTCCCTCCCTCCCTCCCTCCCTCCCTCTCTCCCTTCCTCCCTCTCCCTCTCTCCCTTCCTCCCTATCCCCCTCTCCCCCTCCCCCTCCCCCTCCCCCTCTCCCTCTCCCTCTTCCTCCCTCTCTCTCCGTCTCTCTCCCTCTTCTTCTCCTTTTCCTCTTCTGCGCCTCCTCACAGCATCCTCAGGGTCTCTCGCCTTCATCATTCCACCGGCCCTTCAGCTCCAGCTGAAGCCCAGCACCAGAATCTCCCAGCTGATGGTGGGGAGAGGAGGAAGGGGAAGGAGGGAAGGGGATGACAAGCCGCAGGCTTCAGCTCTCATCCTGCTGGGCTTGTTGAGTTCAGGGCTCACAACCTACGAGGCGATCGTCTCCTCTTAGCGCCTTCAGGGAATCGAATGAACCGACGGCTACAAACGTCTGCGTGTAGCAGGACGAGGAAGAGCACCAGCAGCACGAGGAGGAGGAGGAGGAGGAGGATCTAGAACAGTTTTCCTCTGCTCAACTTGGACCAGGGAGAGGACATTTTGACTCGCACGTTCTCCAGCCGTCTACTTCCTCGTCAGCTTCCTCGTCAGCTTCGCCTCCTTCCGCCCTCACCTCCGCTCCTCAGCGTTGAACTCAAGCACAGAGTAGAAGACCGGGATAAGCCCCTCGTGATCCTTCCAAGAGTCAGCCTCCATCTTCGCTCTCCTCTCCCTCTCTCTCCTCTTCTCTCCCTCTTTGCATCACCTGCGTCTCCACGTATTTGATGAGGACATTCTTTAGATATTCAATGTTGATCCCTTCCCTGCCACATTGTGAGTCCCTTGCTCTCCGCTCCTCCCATCCCCTCCGCTTCTCTCGACCTCCCTCCTTCTCTGCCCCTCGTACCTGAACTTGGACTCGAACTTCTCCACACGGTGCAAAGTCGCAGCCTGTCAGAAGCTGAGGAAGGATGAGGGAGGGGGGGTAGCAGCAGCAGCAAACAGCAGCAGCAGGTGCGAGGTACCTCCTTCCTCAGGATCTCGTTCTGCTCTCTCAGCTGCCACAAGGTGACCAGAAGCAAAGAAATTGCAAGAAACGAAGAGGAAGGAGAGGGACAGAGGAAGGAGAGCGAGAAGTTACATGGTCCCTCTCCTTGCACAAGAGATCCTGCCACTCGGTCAGCCCAACGTCTTTCCCAACCTCCTCACCTGCACTCGACGGCTCTCAGCAACATTCTCCTTCAACATTGAGATCTGCAACCAGAATTCAATAAATCTCTCTGTTCCTCCTCCTCCTCCTCCTCCTGTTCCTCCTGCTTCTCCCCCTCCCCCTTCCCCTCCCCCTCCTCCACAATTATCACCACCACATCATCTACTTCCTCCTTCGTCACCCTTTCAACCTTTCCCCTCCTTCCTCCTTCTCCTCTCACCCTCTCGTTCAGCTTGGTCACGTACTCGTCTCGCTTCGCCTGCACCTGACCAGCCGTCACTTCTCGCCCTCCTCCCTCACGACTCACCAGCGCCATCTCTAAGATCTGCTCCTCCTGCGACGTGGCGCTGCGAGGAAACATTTCTCTTCCTCCCTCCTCTCCTTCCCGCAGGATCTCTGACGTTCTCCTCTTATACTTGTTTTCATCTTCCACCTCGTCAGGCTCCATCGCAGCCTCCCCGCGGCCTCACCGAGCGAGAGCGGCGGCAGCATCGCAGCCTCTTCTTCCGTCAGCTCCTCTGCTCCCAACCAGTCAGCCCGTCCTTGCGCCCCACCCCAGCTGACCTCGAGGAGCCTCTGACTGATTGCGGTTCAATGCAATATCCCTTCTCCCCTGCTCCTCCTCCTCCTTCTCTTGGTCCCACCCGCTTCCTCCTGCCTCCTCCTCCCTCTCCGTCTTCTCTTCCCCTTCTGGCAGCTCTTCTTGCGCGGGCCCTCGCACCGGGCTAGCATCATCCGGCAACCCTTGCTCTCCCTTCCCCTGTAGCCTCCCTCGCAGCTTGGAGATCATCGCGTCCTCCTCAGACGTCAGGGGCTGCAGCAGGGAACCCAACCCTCACCTTCTCCATCAACATCTCACGCGCTTTCTGCTTGTGCAACTCGAACTCCTGCTGCATCTGCGTCCTGCCCGAGAGTATAATCATGCTCCTCTCTTGCCCTTGTTCTTCCTCCTCTCCTCTCACTTCTCTTCTTCCGCTTGCTTGAGCAGAGACGATTTCTCAATCTTGAAATCCATCTGACGGGAGTCAGAGGAGCAACAGCAAGACAGCAGCGTCACTTGGATGCGAGCCAGCTGCTCAGACAGGTCCTCCTCCTCCGCCGCCTCCGCCTCTTTCCGCTCCTGGACGGGCAATCTTCTCTTCCAAACCTCCACCTCCTCCTCCAGCTCCTTCATCTTCGACTCTAGAGTCGAGCCGTTGGCCTTCGCCTCTCCCAGCTCTCTTTCCAGCTGCTTTACAGCAAGTTCCAGTCGCTCAGAGTTCTCGCTCCCGAGCTTCACCTGCTCGGCTTCACTTTGACAAGGCACCTCGACCGTCACCTGCTGGCTCAGAGTCTGCTTCTCCTTCCTCAAACTCTCCAACTCGTTCCTCAGTCGCTCCTCCTACCCTCACATCAGAATCTCCTCCTCCTCATCGCATCGCACCTCCGTCAGCCTTCGCTTCTCCTCCTCCTCGTCCCTCAGAGCATTCGGCCGCTGACGCAAGACTATCCGGATACTGTCAACTCCTCTCCACCTCCCCGTCTCCCTTCCTCTTCCTCTTCCTCTTCCTCTTCCTCTTCCTCTTCACACCCGTGTGTGCTTTGATCTTGTACTGCCGGAACTCTTCCTGCAGGGACTCCAGCTGCTTCTCTTTGGCCTTTGCGCCTGCATAAGCTGGCGAAGGACAAGCAAGCGAGGGCAGCAACAGCAGCTGAAGGAAGAGGAGGGAGGAGGGGAGGAGACGACTTGCTTCACCTTATACTTGAGCGTCAGCTCTTCGAATTTGCTTTCTTGGCTTCCCACGTCCTCCAGCACGATGGGCACAAGCGGCTCAGCCAGTGGGTCTCTCGTCCCCTCCCCTCCCTCCTCGAGCGCCTGGCGGATCGAACTCTCCGTGACCCTGCCATCCTCAATGAGGCCTCGCCCTCCTCCTCCTCTGCTCCCACCAGCGCAAGTCCCTCGCGCTGTCCTCTAGCAGTGCCCAAGCAACTCCGTTGGACCAGATGCGCCGCAGGACCCTGAAAGGAGCTGAGAGATGAAGCGAGGAAGGCACGAGAAGAATCGGAACAGGCAGAGGAGAAGTACGGCAAGGGGGGGGCAGGAGGGAACGAGGAAGATGGGACAGAGGCAGAGCATGAGAAACATCAGACGTAGCTGAGGAGCAGGCAGGGGACGAAGAGGACCGTGAGGTGGCGAGGTCGGGCAGGGCTGCTGCTTGTTTCTTGTTCTGCTCTTCGAGCTGCTGGAGGCTGGCGAGGAGCTGGACGATCTCGTTCTAGAGGGTCGAAGTGAGTCAAGGAAGCATGACGACTTTGAGCCTCCACCTGCTTCGACATCAACCGTTCCTGCAGCTGCTTCTTCTCTGCCGTGACCTGCTTGCTCTGAGCCCTCAACTCCTGCACCATCACCAGCTGACAGTCAGCAGAGGCCTCACATGAGCTGCAGCTCACCCCCAGCTGCTTGTCCAGGTGAGACACTCGAGCTCCTACGCCGCGAACTTTATCAAGCACAAGCTGCTGCACGCCTTCCAACACCTTCACACACACAGTAAGCCCATGGCCTCCTCCCCTCCCCTCCCCTGCCCTCCCCTGCCCTCCCCTGCCTTCTCCTCTTCTCCCCTCCCTCCCTCCTTCCCCTCCTCGGCTTCCCCCTATCCTGTCCTCGCTCACCTCGCAAGCGTCCTCCCCGTCACAGTCTGCGAGGTTGTCGCTGGCTTGACTCTCGTCATCGAGGCAGGAGAGACCACTTTCAAAGAGGTCCCGCAGCTTCGCTTCTTCTTCCCGCTTTAGTTCACCTCCTCTCCCTTCCATGATGGCACAGCTCATGCACTCGAGCACAGCTTGCAGTGCTCTCTTGTACAGGATGGAGACGGGCACGAGCGACTTGACTCGCTTCAGTTCTCTCGCAGTGTCCTGCAGTTCTTCTTTCACCTTCTCCCTGTCCACCTTGTCAGCTGGCACGTGCGCTCCCTTCCTCCTTCACCTCTCCCCGTACAGACGAGCTCTTGCCTCGTTCAGCTCCGCGATCTTAAGCTCCCGCTCATCCAACTGCCTCTGCCAGGCATGAGTGACCAGATGATTCTTGAGCTGCAGCACCTGGCAAGTTTCCTGCACCTCCGCGACTCTCTCTGCCAACTTCATCGCGTTCTGTGAGGAAGTGAGAGGTTGAGCAGCTCCAGCTCTCGCCCACCTCTTCGAATCTCCTCGCTTTCTCTCTCTCCTCACTCAGATCGGCAGTAAGCTTGGATATCTTCGCTTGCAGCCCATGCAGCTTCCCGTCCTTCTCGGCCTCTTCGTCTCCCTTCCTTGTCGCCGCCTGTCGTCCCACAAGCTCTCAGTCTTACTCTTCCGCCAACTCCCTACCTCGTGCAGCTCTGCCAAGCTGCTTCGCTCCCGCAAGAGGTCAGCTCTGAGATCCTCTACCTCCCTGTCCATCCTCGCGGCTCCTTCCCGAGCCCTTTGGAGTTCAGCCAGACATCCATCCAGCTCCTGAGCAAGACGTCATGCCCTCCCTCCCTCTCCTCCTCCCTGCCTTCTCCCTCCTTCCTGCTTTCCTCGCTCTCTAACCCCCCTCCCCATGTTCTTCTTCTTCGACCTCTCGTGCGTGCTGCAGGTCGCAGTCTTTGTCGGACAGCTCCTTCTCCAGCTCCTCCATCTTAGCCGCCAGACTCTCGTGCTCAGCCCTCGCGCTCTCCTCAGCAGCCCAGTTCCTCTCCAGCTGGGCGAGTCTTGACTTGAGCTCTTCGGCTTCTTCCTGCAGCTGGACATTGAGCTCTTGCGACTCCCTCGCCGCTCTCGAGCTCTTTTCTAACTCGCTCCTGCTTCTCTCCACCTCCGCCTGCATCTCCGCACTCGCACTCGCTGACGCAAGGGCTTCCTTCAGCCGCTGCTCCTTCTCCGCTAATTTCGCCTTGGGGGACGCAACCAGTCAGCGTCAGGAAGAGAAGGTCCTAGCAGACCTTGAGATTCTCTTCGCAGACCTTCATCCTCTCGCTGGCTGTCGACAGCTCTTCGACCATGGAGTTGAGCTCTCTGATCCTGCAGTTTGACTTCCACGTCTCCTTCTCCTCCTCGTCGATCTGACAGGTACGTCACATTCATCTCCTCCTCTCATTCTCACCTTCTCAAGGGCACCATGAAGCTCCGCTCGCAAGCTCGCGATGCTTCCTTCTCGATCGCTCAGTCGCTCTTTGAGTCTGTTGGGGTCACGTCAGGGCAGATGAGCAGCTTTTGCCTACTCGCCTCGTCGCCTCCTCCTCCAGCTCCTCAACCCTCGACACAAGCTCGTGGATCTCCTGCGTGATACCATCAACCACTCGGTGGCACGCGAGCATGGGAACGACTTCTTCTTTCCTCTCGATCTCTTCCTGCAATCATTCTTCACTCCCAAGCCCCCGCCCCAAGCAGCCATCACCTCCTTCCGCTTCATTTTCTCTTCGTACTCGCTCGTCCTCACACTAACTGTCGCTTCCGTCTCTCTGTCGTGCTCGTCAGGAGCGCAGCTCTTCTCTGCCAGGCTGAGCTTGAGAGCTTCGAGCTCCTCCTGCGACGGGTGAGGAAGAGAGCGAGGGGGATGCGAGAGGCTCACGAGGGCAGCCGATCGCTGCCTGTCTGCCTCCTTGGCCTTGTTACGAGCGGCTTCAATCAACTGGAGGAGACGGTGAGGGAGGACGACAGGAGGCGAAGCACCTTCTTGGTATTTTCCTTAAGGCTCTTGATCTGCTCTGCCTTGAGCTCCTGCCATGCCACGTCACTGCCTTCACTCTGTGCCTCTCCCACAACCTCGAGCTTCCTTCTCTCCGCCTCTCGCTCCTCCTTCATCTGCTCCATCGCTTCCTGCCTCGTCATATCAACTCGCTGGAAGCAGCAGCTCTGGTTCTCTCACGCTCTTTGCTTGCTCGAGCTTCTTGTTCCTTTCCTCAAGCAGTCGCAGCTGCAGCTTCTTTACAGCACTTAACTCGCCCATCCTCGTCTCACCTCTCCTTGCAGCCTCTCGCACTCCTCGCGCATGCCCTGCACCTTCTCCTCCAGGTCGAACTTCTGCTGCAGCAATGTCTGCTGCTGCTCCGTCACTTGCTCGAGCTGAGCCAGCAAGTCCTCGCTCCTCCTGTCTCTCTCCTCCATCAGCGCCTTTTTCTCCGTCATCGCAAGCTCCAGTTGACAAAGTTTGCCCCCCATCGCCTCGATTTCGCTCTCTCTGCTTGCTAGCTGGATTTGGAGGGCCTTGACTTGTTGAGAAGAGGAAGAGGAGGAGCCTTCTTGCTGCTGCAGCTGCAATCGAAGCTCCTCGATCTGACAAGAACTCAACCAGCGCGAGGGTTACGCGTCTCCTTACCTTTGCCGTCATCTTCTGCTTCATCTCATTGGCTTTCGTCTTGGCGTTCTCAACCACCTGCAGCAGCATCAGCCCCTTACGCTTCTCCCCCCTCCTCTCCTCACAGCTTTCGCATGCGTCCGGATCTTGACAATCTCTTGATCTTTCTGAGTCACTTGGCAGGAGTTGGCCTTGGCTGCTCCAGCTGTCAGCACGACTCCTCAAGCCACCAGCTGCCGTCACCGAGCTGCTCAAGCATGCCCTCCAGGCTCTCCGCCGCCTCCAGGCCCCTCGCCAGACCCTCTGCGACCTCAAGGGCGTGAGCATCTCCATGGCACCAGGAGCCGCTGCCGCCGCCGCTCGGAGCTTCAAGAGCTGCGACTCTTGCCTGCACACCAGCAACATCACGAGCGAGACAGCGCAAGGGTCCAGCAGACCTCCAGCTGACTCTTCTGCCTCTCGTGATTCTCTCGTTCCTGCTTGACCTTGCAAAGCATCAGCCCTGCTAGACGAGAAGGAAAGAGGAGAAACACTACCTTCTCGATCATCTTCTTGGCTTCTTCTTTGAAGCGCTTTAGTTGCTCATCCTATCGGTGCAGAAGTGTCAACTCTCAGGCTATCTCATTCATTTCACCTTCTCGTTGAGCTGATTCTGAAGCTCCCGAACTCTTGTAACGTCTCCTGGAAGCATCTCAGCCATCCAAAATCATGCGGCGGCGCTACCGCAAGACAATTCCTGCACCCTCGACTGCAGCTCTTCCACCATCTGCAGCCTGTCAAAGAGGAGGCAAGCGAACGAGTGGACAACAACAACAGCAGGGAGAGGAAGGGAGACGCAAGATGGAGAGAAGGAAGCGGGGAGAAGAGAATGCTTTACACCACCTTGTGCTCTTCCTTCCATCGATTTTCAGCCTCCAACAATCGACTTCTTTCATCGCCCTCTTCACCCTGACATGAACATCATACCCTCAGCAGAACTTTACCAATGCTGGCATAGATGTTGAAGGGAAGGGGAAGGCATGTTGGCCTTCATTTTCCATCTCACCTGGCGCCTCAACCGTGCAAGTTCATCTTCCAGGTGCTTGACCTTCTCCCTGAGCTGCTTCCACTTTCGTCATGAGATTCGTAGCGATGTAGTCGAAGGTACCGTAAAGATTTCCGCTTCCGCTTGCTGGGCACCTAAGAAAACAAGTCCGATCATGCTTCGAGAACAGGAAGAAAGCAGAGGATCTCGTCATCGTCCAAGTCGCTTACCCGAAGAGTCTGGCGACACCTGCTGCTGCTCCTCTCCCTGCTCCTCGTCACGTTCACACCCACCATGCCCACAAGCGCGTCGCTCGCTTGCCTGAGACGACAGAGCTGCTCTGAGGCGAGCATTCTCGTCGCGAGCCTTCTTGAGCTCTCGTCTTATCTGCAGCCCCTTGTCACAGATGTCTCAGGCAGCAGTACAAGTCACTTGAGAAAGAGGTTGACTTGCGTCCGAAGACTGGCCGTCAGTCAAGCCAGCGTTAGAAGCACCCTCTTGCTGAGCCTTCTTCTGCGCCTCCTCTCTCACAATCTCTTGCAGGACCTCGTAGTCTCTCTGGTTTGCAATCATCGTGGAATACTATCACCTGACGATTCAGACTACCTGCACTCTCTTGTGCTCCACGTACAAGTTTCGGAACTTGTTCAGCGCTTGTTGCAATTTGGCACTTTGAACGAAACAAAACATCAACACGTCCGAATCATCTCGACAGAGAACATTGAATTTTCTATACCTTCGTTGAACACATAGATTCTCAAGCTCATTTCTAGAAAGATTCTGAAAATTGCATTCTGATTCGAAAGAAGTTCCAGCCTGATCACTTTTTGTCTGGCTGGTAGCAGCTGGGAGGAGCAGAGTAAGGGACTGAAACACCTACTTGACTTGAGACTCAAACACCTACTTGATTCTCCCTCGGGGTTGAGAGTTGCCGTCAGCTTCGCCTCCGCGCCAGCCTTAAGACAAGTCACGCGCAAGAGCCACGAGACCTCATTCACCTTTGCTGCCGCCGCTGCTGCCGCTGCTGATTCAGCTGCCTGTCGCGTGCAGGCAAGTCAAACTTTTTCATATCCATGCAACGAGGTTCTCGTACCTTGGACAGCTTGACCAAGCTGTCTCCAAGCCAGTTGGACATGGTGGAGGGTGGAGAACAACTAGAATCCTTCATGCATGTCAGTATGAACAATCATTAACAGCAGGAGCAGGAGTAGGGGGCAAGGAGCAGCGAGCAAGAAGCGGGGAGCAGAGCGCAGAGCGCAGAGCGCAGGAGAAGGAGCAGGAGAAGGGAGAAGGGAGAAGGGAGAAGGGAGCAGGGAGCAGGGAGAAGGGAGAAAGGAGCGGGGAGCAGGAGGCGATACCAGAACTCATTATCGCCATCCTTGGCAAGAGATTGTAACGGATTGAATAACGATCTTATATACCGTAACGGAATACCGTTATGTTTTACCTCCGAAGTACCAACGGAGGCAGGCCCGCAGGAGCTCCTCGATCAGCTAATTGACTTTCCACACTTCACGTGCATTTCGCACAGTTCTCCTCCTCCCCCTCCTCCTCCTCCTCCTCCTCCTCCTCCTCCTCCTCCTCCTCCTCCTCCTCCTCCTCCTCATCGTCATCATCATCGTCGTCGTCGTCTTTCTCCCACGTGCTCCCTTGTGGCCCTCCCATCCTCTCACGTCAGATCGCGGTGGTTGCAACTGTGTTTCAGAGTGATCTTCTTTGCTTTTTCTGGTTGTCTTGCTTGATTGGCAGCACCTGTCATGGAGGTGCTGAATGCTTCCCGCCATAAGAAACGGCTACAACGAGCTGCTGCTGCTGCTGGAGAAAAGGCAGCTGAGAATGCAGTGCCGAGCAAACGGGTGAAATTTACGGATGGCAACAACAACGAGATTGCAAAGGTAGACGAGGATGCAGACAGTGACGATGCCAATGCAGATCTTGTACTTGCTCTCACAAAAGATGAAAAGGCAAAACGACAGGCTGCAGCGAAGATTGCGGCCAAGAAGGTGGTTGCAGATGCAGAGAAGAGCAAGGTGAGCAAGACGAAACAAAAAGCCTTGCAGAAATTGAAAGAGAGGCAAGAGAGAGAAGCCAAGCGAGGCGAGGTTCTGAAATCTCTACAAGAACATGCCATCAACAGTGATGTCGCTGCTTTGCTCAAGTCAAGCTCAAAGATTGGAACTGGAAGGGAGACGAAGAAGCAGCGGCTGTCGCAGGCCTTGAAGGAGGAGCGAGCAGGAGTGTGCCTGACTGACCACGCGGATCTCATCGTTGGGATCAACTCACACAATGACAAAGAGAGTGCGAGAGCAAGAAGAAGGAGGTTGGAACGAGAGCAAGACGAGATGGAGCAGGCCTTGTATCACTCGGATGAGGCCGACGAAGAGAGCTCAGAAGCAGAACAGGAAGGCGAACCAAGGGTTGATGAAGAGCATCAGCCAGCAAACCTCACAGCACAAGAGCACGATATTCATGCTGACACGTCAGATTTGACTCCAAGAACGAAGGAGGAGGAGCGCAAGGAGGAAGGGAAAAGGAAGGAGGAGGAGCGCAAGGGGGGAGGGAAAGGGAAGGAGGAGGAGGACGAAAGGGCACCTGCTTACGTTGTTCGAGTGAAGAGGAGACCTGAGATTGAGCGGGTGCGAGAGAAGCTGCCGATGTTTGCAGAGGAGCAGGCGGTTATGGAATGCGTCAACGATCATGACGTCATGATCCTCTGCGGAGCCACCGGGTGAGCTCTCGGTGAGCTCGCGCTGGTACTGGGCTGACGTTGAGGGTGCAGGTGCGGGAAGAGTACGCAGCTGCCTCAGTTCCTGTACGAAGCCGGTTACGGGGAAGCGCCGGGCAGGCGCGGGATGATCGGATGCACTCAACCTCGTCGAGTCGCAGCCGTCACGACTGCTAAGAGAATCGCGAGCGAGCTGAACGTGCAGCTGGGGAAGGAGGTGGGGTTCCAGGTGAGGTACGAGAAGCGAACGAGGAAGGAGACGAAGATCAAGGTGATGACGGATGGGATTCTGCTCAAGGAGATGCAGAGCGACTTTCTTCTCTCCGACTACTCGGCGATCATCATCGATGAGGCCCACGAGCGAGGCACCAACAGCGATATCCTCATCGGTCTGCTCTCGCGCCTCGTGCCCATGCGCAGGAAGGGAGTAAAGGACAGGAGCGGCAAGCTGCTTCCCCCCCTCAAGCTCATCATCATGTCTGCTACCCTCCGTGTTAGCGACTTTGTGGACAACGCGCCCTTGTTTCCTCACCCTCCTCCCGTGGTGGAGGTGGCAGCGCGGCAGTTCCCTGTGACAGTCCACTTCAGCAGACGGACGGCGACGTTGGACTACCTGCAGGAGGCGCTCAAGAAAACGCTCAAGATCCACGCGAAGTTGCCGGGGGGAGGGATCCTGGTGTTCCTGACGGGGAGGCGGGAGATCAACTGGATGTGCCGGAAGGTGAAGGAAGAGCTAGGAAAGAAGCGAAAGAGAAGCAAGAAGAGCGAAGAACAAGCTGGGGGAGAAAAGACTGACAACCTCAGGCTCCCTCCTCTCCCCGCAAACATCTCCCTGCCTTCGGATGGTGTTGATACCAACGAGAATGCCAAGGAAGGGTTTGTGTTCGGCCTGGATGACGGAGCTGAGAGTGAAGAGGAAGAAGTTGATGTTGTGGAAAAGATGAAGGTAGAGGAAGAGGAGGAAGAAGCAGGAGAGGAGAAGGGGGGGGAGGAGGGGGAGGAGTCAGAAGTCGAAGACCTTTCCGAAAACGAGTATGACCTAAGCGACAGCGATGATGATGATGAGGAGGAGGAGGAGGAGGAGGAGGAGCAAGGGAATGGAAGCGGAGAATCTTCTTCAAGGACGATCGTCTTAAGCTCACAAATGATCCAAAGAGGAGATGCTGCGAAATCTTGTTCAGAAACAGAAGAGGAGAAGAAGGAGAAGGAGAAGGAGAAAGAGAAAGAGAAAGAGAAGGAGAAGAAGGAGAAGAAGACGAGAGTCAAGAAGAGGCCTAACAAAGTTGAGGTGCTTCCTCTCTACTCCATGCTCCCTGCAGACCAGCAGATGAAAGTGTTTGAGCGAGTGAGAAAAGGCGTCAGACTTATCGTGATCGCTACCAATGTAGCCGAAACCTCTATCACTATCCCCGGGATCCGGTCAGAACTCCTTCTTCTCCTGCACTCCCCTGCCCTCGCCTCGCCTGCCCTCGCCTCGCCTCGCCTCGCCTCTCTCCTCCCCTCCTCTCTCCTCCCCTCATCTCTCCTCTCTCCTCTCTCCTCTCTCCTCTCTCCTCTCTCCTCTCTCCTCTCTCCTCTCTCCTCTCTCCTCTCTCCTCTCTCCTCTCTCCTCTCTCCTCTCTCCTCTCTCCTCTCTCCTCTCTCCTCTCTCCTCTCTCCTCTCTCCTCTCTCCTCTCTCCTCTCTCCTCTCTCCTCTCTCCTCTCTCCTCTCTCCTCTCTCCTCTCTCCTCTCTCCTCTCTCCTCTCTCCTCTCTCCTCTCTCCTCTCTTTGTGTCGACTTACCTGGCAACGGGTCTCAGGTATGTTGTGGACACGGGGAGGGTCAAGGAGCGCGTCTACAGCAAACGCTCGGGCATCGGCAGCTTTCGCATCGCGTGGACGTCGCAAGCGAGTGCAAACCAGCGAGCAGGGAGAGCAGGCAGAACAGGAGCAGGGCACTGCTACCGCCTCTTCTCATCCGCCGTCTTCGAACATCAATTCTCTCCCTTCGCTCCTCCTCAGATCCTCCAGACTCCCATAGAAGGCGTCGTCCTCCAGGTTCGTCTGTTCTTCCGCCCTCGCTCTCAGCAGCTGACGTCGTCGGATTGCGCAGATGAAGGTTATGTCCATCCCCAACATCCGCGAGTTTCCGTACCCGACGCCGCCCAACGAGGAAGACATCGAGAGAGCCATCAAGGTGACAGAGGCGAACCCTCCCTTCCTCTGCCTCCTCTCTCCATCTCTTTCCCCTCTTCTTCCTCCTTCCCCTTCCCCTTTCTTTATTCCTGGCCTCCCTTTCCCTTACTTTCCCCCGTCCTACCTACTAACCCCGCTGCCGTCCTCCCTCCTGTTCTCTCCTCACCTTCTTCCTTCAATCCTCCTCCTCGTCCACTCCTCTCATCCCTCTCCCTTCCTCCCCTCCAACTTTTGTATCTCTCCTTGTCTCCTTCTCCTCGCCCTACTTGTCTTGAATCTCCTGCAAGCCCCTTCGTTTCCTCTTCTCATGCTTCTCGTCTTCTCCTCCTGACTTGTCTTGGCAGCTCCTTGTCAGTCTGGGAGCGCTGGACGAAGAGGAGCAGGTCACTCCCCTCGGCGTCCAGCTCGCTGCCTTTCCTCTTGCTCCTCGCTTCGCAAAGATGCTGGTGCTCGGCAATCAGAGCGGCTGCCTCCCTTACGCTGTCGCGCTCGTTGCTGCCCTCACCGTCGAGAACCCCATCGTGTATGAGCGAGAAGGAGCGAGAGATGCTGAGCAGGACGAGGACGAGGAGAAGGACGAAGACGAAGAGCAGGAGCAGGAGCAGGCAGGAGGGAGGAAGGAAAGACAGTGGAATGGAGGAGCGCAAGTCTGCAGGAGAGATCTGTGGACGCACACGAGGAGCGACGCTCTGGCCCTTGTCAAGGCCTTGGGTGCCTACGCTTTCAGGTCAGAAGAGGAGGAGAGGTCGGGGGAGGAAAAGGCTTGACGAGAGTGGCAGCGGAGGAGAGGAAAGAGATCAGTTTGCACAAAACCATGGGCTGCACCCGAAGCTGATGCGAGAGATGTTATCAGCGTATCAGCAGCTGAACTCGCTTCTTCGCTTCTACTTCCCCTCCCTCGCTCCTCTCCTTGCCTCTGACGATGGGCCTTCCCGCCCCCCTTCAAGCCAGCAGGAGGAGCTTCTCTGCCAGCTCCTCCTTGCAGGCCTGGTCGACCAAGTCGCCAGGCTTGACCCGGACTGCCGCGCGCGCGTGCGATGGTGAGAGGAGGAGGAGGAGGAGGAGGAGGAGGAGGAGATGAGGGGCGACGGCAGGTACCGAGGCATCACCACTGATGCTCCTCTCTTCATTCATCCGCACAGCTGCTTGTCCGGTCAGACCCCGCAATGGGTAGTCTACCTCGAGCTCTCACAGACGTCAAAAGTCTACATGAAAGGAATTA